TTTTGCTAAGTACTGTTTTCCTAACTACTCCACATCCAGTAACTCACGAGCGGTTCTGACCCAGCTTCCACACACTCAACGGCTTTCTGAGAACCGTCTCACTCTGTGATTCATTCATCAAGGTTCTCCAGAAATTCAAAAACAATAGGATGTGTACATAGAGAGAGAAAGAGGTCTATTTTAAGGTATTGGCTCACATGATTATAAAAGCTGGCAAGTCCAGAACCTGCAGGGTAGTCCAAGGGAAGGAGCCCCAGGAAGATGGTGCAGTTCAAGTCCAAAGGCTGTCTGCTGCCCAATTCCCTCTTGCTCAGGGGACGGCAGCCTTTTTTGTTCTAGTCAAGCCTTCAACTGATTGGAGGACAATCTGCTCTACTCAAGTCTTCTCAAAGTCTACTGATTTAAATGTCAATCTCATCCAAAAGCGCCATCACAGAAACCTCCAGAACAATACTGGGCCATGGCCCGGCCAAGCTGACACATAAAATTAACCATCCCAGATTCCGTCTTGTTTATTCTGAAACTCTACTCTCAATCTGGATTTGGAACTTCCCCTGCCTACCCTCCCTCCGCTTCTGGTTTCCAGAAACCCTGTTTCCTGCCTCTTCCAAAGCCTGGCTCCTCTGGGCAGCTTGCACTCCCCTCACCTGGCCGTGCTCTGCCGGGGTCTGTCAGGCTCTCGCTGCAAGCCCCTCTCCGGCTCAACCTCTTCCCCCACCACCATTCGCACACACCGCCCAGCTGGCTGCCTTTCTAGGACAGCGGGACGGCTCAGACCCAGTTTCCTTCCCCGGGTTCCTACAACCTTCCACCACCCCCGACACTCCGCCCGTTGAAGCTCCAGAGCAGGAGCTCGGGCTGGTCCTTGCATCGCTGGGGAAACTGCATCTCTCCCATCCCTGAATATGGACCGATTCCATTTTCCTCAGCAAGTCTTGCAGGGAGGGGCTGCTCCCGAAGGCTGTGACCGGAGGAGGAGGAGGAGGAGGAGGACCCCAGGCCGCTTGTGAGGAGCAGCCAGCCCTCACCAACGGGGCCACCACAGTTTACAGGACAGCAAGGGTCAGGAGTGCTGGAGGATGGGCAGGAAGCCAGCAGGGCCCAGGGCACTGAGCTAGTGGAGGGCAGCGGGGGAGGGCAGGGCACGCAGGGCCTGTGCAGGCCCCGGGAAGCAGCTTGGGGTTTCTGCTGAGTGCAGGGGAGCCACCCCCGGGGCTGAGGGTAACCTAAGAGCTTTTTAGTCGAAGGAGGTAACACTGCATCACGCGCAAATACCGCTTTGCCCTGGCCGTGCGTCTGGCCACGTCGGGCAGGACGTCTGTCTCTCCCCAGCTTTCTAATTTCCCCCTTTAACTTTGACCGAATTGGATTGAATACAGCAGAACTGAGGACATTTTTGTGTGCCTGAGCTTTTGACAGCCCCCGTTTGTGTATGGCAAGCGGCACTGATTTTCCACACGGTAAGGACATGGCCAATTTTCAACTTTGTCAAGAAATTGATTTTAAAAAGTTGGTTAAAGAACCAAGTAAGTCAGTGGAACCCTGGGTGGTTCAGTGGTGGGGTAATGTCGTAATGGAGGTCCATGAGTTGGATTCAGCCTACGGACTGCTCAGGTCCCAGGGTCACCTGAAGTTTGTCTTTTCCTGTAAGTTGGCTAGACCTCGGATGCAGCTCCCCTCACTGTCCAGAGCTGAGTCCTGCTCTACCAGCATGTTGGGGTGCTTCCCTACCTAGTGGGTCAACAGCCAGCCAGGACAGGGGCATCTCCAAGGCTTGGACGGGGCTCCGAGACTCGGGGAAGTCACTCTCTTGCCCCTTTGCTGGAGCTCAGTCTCTGCTACTCAAGCCGACCAGAACCAAGGGTCTAGCCTGCTTCTCAAAGTGGGGCTCCTGGGCCTCACCATGGCCCGTCGCTCCCACGCATCAGAGCAATGTAACTGGCTACCCGAAACACTTATTTCTAGATGAAAACAGATACCACAGAGAATGCAACATTCCTACGTGGTGTGGTTTTAACTCTAAGATGCAGAGCTTAAAACTCTGCCCCCCCAATCCCAAGATGCACTTCCTCCATCCTCTACTGAACTTTAGGGGTGTGTTGGCGGGTGACCTGAGAGCCACTGCGCTAGGACTTTGTTTCCCGTTCCAGGGCCGGGCTGGGGTGCTCTGAAGGCCGGGGGAGAAAGAGGAGTTCGAAGCACCGGGCATGCAGAGGACCCTTAACTTACCACCACAGTCGTTCCCCTTTCCCATGACCTTGTGAATGCCTGCTTGGAGGAAGCCCTGCCAGGGCCCGGGGCTGGGTGTCTGGAAGGGGCCCCCAAAGCTCACTGGGGTTGCGATTCTGGCTCTGGCTCAGTGACCTCGCTGCCCGCATCTGGCATCAAAGGCTCCACAGGAATTGGTCTAAGCTTTGGAGAAGGGGGAGACCAGTGCTCCCATGCTCGGAAATGGTCTTTTAACCCAACAGCGAGCCAACTTGCTCAGTGCGACCTCCATTTGTGTGTGATCCAAACACACAATCTGCCCCCTTCACCCGCCACCCTTCTTCACGCTCTTCTCTCCGTACCCTTGAACCCAGATTTGACTCCCCGCCCCCCACCTGTCAAGAACTTCACCTCAACTTTCCCCGCTGCACCCAGTTCGACTAGTGGCACTACGGCGATTTTCGGTTCTCAAATGTCAACAGGGGATGGGCTGTCATTCCTTCCAGTATTTACTCAGCACTTACCACGCGTCTGAGCACGTGGCCTACCCAGATGGGCAAGAGCTCAGTCACCAGCCGGTGGCCTGGCCCAGTGCCTCAAGATACTGACCAGAGGGGGGATGACGCTCCCGTAGCAAGCAACTGCGACTGGGGGTGGGACAGAGGTGCCTGCTCGTGCTGGGGACAGCGCGTGCACACGGGTGAGCCGGGCCAGGCACGCTCCCGGGGCCGCGGGAACCTCGTGGCTGCTGTGAGCTGTACGTGGGAATAATGCATGACCGGATGTGCGAAAGCGTTTAGAGTGCCTCCTGCAGGCGGGCCGTGACTCAAGGCCATCTGGCCAGGGGAACGTCGAGGGCAGAATAAGGGCCTGGACTAAGGTCCCAGGAGCTGAGAGAGGTTACAGTGGACTTCGGAGTCACACAGCCGCTCAGGGAATAGAGCTGTAATGATTTAAGGACTAGGCAAAAACCAAAACCACTTTTTAATTTTTTAAATCAAACACTTTATTTCCACATAACAAGCGCAAAAAACTCCCAAACACTTTAACAATACAATTAACGCAGTTATGAATTCAATTATATACTACTCAAAGCCCCAAAAGGTCAATCAGCTTAACGTTCCAAACATTTCCAAACGTGGTTTTTCAAAGCTACCTTTGGTTTTTGGAAAAACCAGTATGGAAGTCAATATACATTGAATGCATTGAACAACATTTGCTTATAGGAAGGTGTCCAACATTAGCTCACACCTGGCAAGCCGGAGCAGGATTTGAAGTCATACGCTGGGATACACACACAGGTTTTGCCCCAGAGCTCCCGCGGTCAGGAGAGAGGGCCATGAAGGGGGAAGAAAAAGGCCAGTCCAGGTTGTGGCATTTCTCATTTTGTAACAGAGGTATGAGAGTTTAACACTAGAACACTGGCAAGTCATTAAGCTTCATGTTCCAAATGGTCTCTTGCTGAGGCTTGAGATGGGCACAAATGGTGGGGAAGATGAAGTCACAGGAGAGCTTTGAGCAACAAGATCCCAAAGATGCTCAGAGAGGGTAGGAAGGAGCAAGCTACAGTTTCCCATTGTCCTCACATTATTTCAGGGTGAAATTGTGGAGAAGTTCGGATAGAATGTTCAAATATTTGCTTAGATTTGTACTCGGTTGCTCTATGAGGACCCTCATATACAGCAACGTTGAAACGTTCATTGTAAAAAAGAGCGTACAAAGAAATTCACAAAAAAGACAATTAATGTTGAGCAGCCAAAAAGTCATGGTTTATTATATCGGGAGGGATTTCATAATTCAAACACAACCAAACTGTACATTTTACAATCACATTCTATTTGTAAACAGTTAAAAGCCACTGACTTCTTTTGCATCTTAGGACACAAACAGTTAGATCAAGGCAATGAAATGATGGCAAATTCTGCGCTGTTAAAATGTTTACCCTTGTTTGGCCCGTCTTCTTTGACTAAGCAAGCATTATAATACCATTTGTGGGCAAAAAAAGGGGGCGAGGAGAAAGTAAGTTTAAAAATGGTATAACTCGTTAGTTTGCAACAACATTTAAAATTTTCTTTATACAACGAACAATTCTGTAAGCCCAATACCTTGGCTACAGTATGCATAGTTACTGATTTCGGCTTTAAGGTACAACAGTTCAACATTAACACAGTCACAGGAGAGCAGAAACAGAGAGAGCCACTTGATGGGGTTACAAAAAATTATCACCTATTGATTATTAGCAAACCATCATCACTCACTAATAAAAAGACAGCATCTGAAAGCAGAATGTCAACTCCAGCTTTAAGCGTTTTTTTGTTTTTTTCTTTTTTTTGGCAGAGAAAATTCTTTAACAGAGCAATACGTAGTATCAGTGCTAAAAGTTGGGGTTTTCGGTTTTTGTTTTTTTTTCCTATAAGAAACTACAAGGAGATATTTTTTTATTTTTTTATTTTTAAAATTTTTTTTTTTTCCTAACTGGGTAACTGGTTTTCCTGAGAACCATGCTCTTGGATTTAGGACAGGAATAGAAAACAAAAGAACATGGCCAAATGCTGCTCCTTTTTCCCAGAGATAGAAAGCATCTTGTAAATCATCCTCCATTGTTTATTTTTTTTGTCTTTTAAATTTTTTTTAAATGATGGAAGAGTAAACATTTTTTTTTCTCAAAAAACAAACAAAAAAATCTGTAAACAAGAAGGTTCACCGTGGGAACCTTCAAAACAAAATGGAAAGCCTATTCAAAGTGCAGGGCCCGTCCTGGGTGGCAGGGGGGCTGCAAGTCACAGCTGTGGCCACAGTTTTTCAAACTGCAGAGCGAAATTCTTTAGTTTTAGAACATGAAAACACTGGTGCAATACTTTCATTTATAGTCCTACGTCAGCATCAGAACTCGGGTCTTTTAAACTCCACGACACCACAGTAAGGTAGGCAAACGTCAAGGCATAGTAGAGAGCGCACACCTTTAAGAACATCCTTGAGTAAACATTTACACCGGAACAGCTGCCCCCCCATATTGCCGATTAGACGAGAGAACATCATTCAGTGCAAAGTTAAAAGCTCATACATTATCAGCCCAAAAAAATGGTTTTGCAAAAAAAAAAAAAAAAAAGAGAGCGAGAAAGGAAAAAAAGAGAGAGAGAGGAAAACGGGGGGTGAGGGATGGGGGAGGAAATTGGGAAGGGAAGGAGGGAAGGGGTGGGGAGGAAAAAAAAAAAGAACCCAAAGGCTAAACATGATGAATATACACAAGTGAGCTCATTCTATACGGTTTAGCATGTATGGCGCTATTTGGGAGTGTAAATAGATAGATACCTTTTCACATTATAATATTGGCCTGCATGATTCAAGTATTCAAACTGATATGTTTCAGGGAAAACAAAGTGGAAAATGTGCAGAGAAGAGCTGTTCCCACAGGTGGCCCCTGGCTGCAGGCGGCGAGCCCAACTTAGTGCTCCTTTCTTTACGCTTCTTGAGGTCACAGTTCGTGAGTCTACATCGACACGTTACATGGACTCTCCACCCCCACCCAGGTGGTCAACAGAAAGAAAAGCGTTAATGGGGGATGGGCTGCTAATTCCCCGGGGGTCGCTGCTGCTGGGAGGACCCCACAGGCTTGTGGAATAATGTGGGGTCCCCCAGAGTGAAGTGCCGTGAAGGTCTCCACAGTGAGTTCCCGACAGCCCAGCACCATTCCAGTGATTGAGATCGGTCCGGCTGGAGAACGAGTGGGAACAGTCGAGGGAGCCCAGCCGGCTCTGGCTGGACCCGAGAGACTGCCAGCCGGGAGAAGGGGTCAGAGACTGACTTTGTGCAAAGAAACGGCTGATCTCCTCTTCACTGGCAAACTCAGCAAGAATAGTAGTGTTCCCCAATACACACCTGGAGGGAAGACAGAGGGGATGCGGTGAAGACCCGGGGCGTCTCAAGGGTCTGATTCGAAGTGAGGGGAGCACTCAGCCTCTGCTCAAAAGGTGAGGGGAGGAGGGGCGGAGGGGGGTGGTGGCGCCAGGCCTGGCCCAGGGCTCTCTAGGGCCCACGGCAAAACCTGCCCCACTCGTGTGGTTGTGGTATCTAGACAGATCAAGGCTTTTTTTTTTGTCTCCTATAGGTGATTTAAGAGATTTGTCTAGGGCCATTTTGAGGGGTGATGCTTCCCCTTAGGCGTACTGACCTTGGAACCCAAGACAGAGCGAGGCTGCCACCTTACGAAGCACTCTTACTGCAGGGCCCCACGTGCTGGCCCGGAGATGACACACAGTGTCATCAGCTGTTTCCACACACAAGGGAACTCAAACTCTTCCAATCATGAGGGCACCAAACAGCCAACTTACATGTGCAGAGACTTTTGTGCCTTCACTACCTCTTCTTTTGAACTGTAACGGACCAAAGCATTTCCATGTGGGAGGTTCAGGTGGAATGTTATCAGTGGGCCATGCTGCATGCACAGAGTACGCAGAGTTGAGCCATCGATCTAGGAGACAGAGTGTGGGGAGCCGCCAATTAGATGATCCGTCACGAGGACCATCCAGGGAGGTCGTCCCAGGCTGGGACTCTGCTCCTCTCTTTCCTGCCCGAGGTTCTGCGCTCCTGCTGACACTCTTCGCTGGGACTCACTGCTGTGACGGGGTCCAGTGCCCCCCTCCCCACCTCCAGTGGTCCCAGAGCCATACCTCTGTGGCCTCTAGATTCCTGGACACTCCCCAGATCCCCACTTCCTTAGTTAGTCATGCCCCTGCTGTGGCTTCATGTCTTCTCTCTTCCCTGCCCTGAGGACAGGATTCACCAAGGCACTGCTCCCTGGGAGAGGAGGGGGTGGGCTCTTAACATCCAGCCTCCAGAGGAGGGGTGGTCCAGGGCCTAAGGAGATTTTCTCATCTATGAGGGCAGACCAGGGTTTCTCGACTGCAGTACAAGGACCACCTGCATGAAAGTACAGACCCCGATCCTAGCCCGGACCTACTCCTACTCCAGCAACATCTCTGCAGCGAGACTGAGGAATCAATTTTGGTCGGCTCCGTGCACATTTTGTAGTGTAAACAAACTGGGTCAGACCACAGCCTGCCTGAGCCATCCAAAGATCATTCTCTGTTACTTCCTCGGCCTGGTCTACTCAGTAGCCCGTGGGAGGCCTGGGTAGGACCTCCTCTCAAGCCTGGAACCCTCTGTTCCCGTGCTACCTGGCCTGTGCCTATTGGCCAGGATGCCTGATATTCTTACCTGAGGTGTAAGGTTCTTTAGAACAAGCCAATTTGTTATTCTCCCTGAGCTGCTCTCACCCCAGCTGGAACCTAAGGACAAAGAAGGGCAAGTCAGTTTTCCACAGTCGGGGCCCGAATGACACTGAGGACAAACACATTCCAGTCAAGTGATGGCTGCTTGGGAGGAGCACCTGGGCCCCTGGCACCCTGCCCTGCCCGCCCAGCCGCCTGCACTTCTACTGCGGCAATTTCCCCGCGGCTCTGGGGGCCGCTCACACCAGCTCTGACCAGGCCTTACTTCCCCAGGCCAGGTGGCTCTGCCTCCGGGGAGAGTGAGCTCAGACAGCCCCCAGCTCATCACACAGCAGGCGAGGGAGCACAAAAGGCTGTATCCCTTTGCCATCCTTTGGTTTATAAAGCTAAAACGATCTCAAAATGGAACTTCTGGGGAAAGGCCTTGGTTGTGATGATCTAAGGTATGGTCTGATGACTCTGTAGGCATGCGTCACAGGGTGTGAAACTCTAAGGGGATTTAAAAACCTTCAATCAGTGTCCCTCAAGAGACAAATGAATAAGGAAAATGTGGCATAAATACACAATAGAGTATTACTCAGCCACAAACAAGGATGAGATCTTGCCTCGTGTGACAACATGGATGGCCCTAGAAGGTATTATGCTAACTGAAATACGTCTGAGAAAGGCAAATACCATACGATCTCACTTGTATGTGGAACTTAAAAAAAAAAAAAACAACAAACAAAGCTGGATCAGACCTATAAATACAGAGAGCAAACTGAAGGTTGCTGGGGCAAGGGTGGTGGGGGTTGGGGTGGGTAAAATGGGAAGGGGAGAGGGAGGTCCCGGCTTCCAGTTAGGGAATGAAGACGACACAGGAAAAGGTTCAGCATGGGGAACACAGTCGATGGTACTGGAATAGTGTGTGGGGACAGATGGTAGCTACACTTGAGGTAAGCACAGCGTCACATAGAGACTTGCTGAATCACTGAGTCGTACGTCTGAAACTACCGCACACCGTGTGTCCACTGGACTTCAATCGGAAAGAGGGAGCTTGCAATCGCCCAGACGTTTCTGTGTCTGGCTGGCTCCCAAGGAGCTCCCAGACTGGCCTTCCTGCTCAGCCCCAGGGCGCCTGAGCTCCCAGCAGCATGACTTTTGGATCCAGTCGTTCCTCAGTGTCTGGGGTACCTCAGCAACACGTCGGCGTGCCTGAGGGAGACTGCGCTGTGACACAGCGCCCGCCTACTCATCTCTCCCTGCACCGGCTCACCCCAACCCCAAGTCTCTGGCAACTCCCACAGGAGTGCTAGCGCTTTCCTGGCCTGCTCGCCTTGGCATACGTGTCCTCTCTGCTTTGCCTGGCCGACCCTTACTCGCTTCCACCAGCCCCCCTGAGTGCGGGGCCCCGGGCACCAGACCCTCTCCCGTCGCCGTGCCACCACCGGCCATGCAGCTGGTGCCCAGAAGCGCCCGCGGCCCGAAAGAACCGCTCACACAGGACACCGACTACATTCAGGTGCATTCAGTAGCTTGTATCCTTTCATGGAATCAAAACTCCACTCCCCGTCCCTTAGAACTTTTTCCCAAAGGAAACACTGGCAAGCTTTCTTTCAGCCAATCACCTATCTAAAGCTCGGACATCGCTATTAAGTTTTACTATTTTCAGCCTAGAGATGAGGTCTGCTACAGTTCTGGGACGGAGGAGAATGAAGACCAAGACTGTGTTTACTGGTACAACTGGTAGACAGCTAGTTCAATCTGTGTGTGTGTCAGGGCGGGGACACAATGCCTGTCCGAATGCAGTGCGAGTCATGTGCAGGAAGAGCAGGAAGGGGACGCTGGGGGGCCGTTTTCCTGGGACGGCTGGCCCCGCATGGTTAACTCCCAGTACCTCCTTCCACTCTCCCACGTCCCTGCTGAAATCATACACGGTCAGGCCAAGCTGCCACCCAAACAGGCCCAGCCGGGCTGCCCCCCCTTCCCCAGCCTCTCTGCCCGGCACGCTGCGACCCTGCGTGCCTGCCACGAGCAGGACGTGAGCAGATGTTCTCAGGCTCCGGGGAACTTCTGAAAGAGACGTGACGTCCATTCTGTTAACCTGACCACTGACTGTGTGTGGCTTTGGCCACATGTTCTTAAGTAAACCAGGTATATTTTCAAGTAAAATTTAAGACTCACAAAGACCTAAAAACTGCAGAAGATGGCAATGTGCGGGGAGTCGCACGTCTAAGTTCGAATCCTACTTTATAGCGGGTAATGCACAGGTCTCTGTTAGACTCAATTGTGCATTCCTGTTCAGCAAAGAAACAGCAAGAAACCATCCCGAGCATCATGTTCGTCTCACCTGGGGTGTACCTGGCGTCAGAATTCCCCCATCCTCCACCTACACGAAGGGGAGAGTTATCCCACGTAGACAAGGGTGGCTTCTGACCAGTCAGTCCCGGAGGTGGGCGGGACGGAGCAGTGATGTTTTTAGGTGGTAAAGGGACCTTCCACAGCTCATGAGCCAGAGAGGTGTTTGTAACTGAACCAGGAGACCATGTCAATTTGGAATCACTATTTCTGGCTACTCACAGGGAAAAAACACAGCGGGGGATGGGGGGGAGATAATGCTTTTAGCAAAGAGAAAATTTAAATAACGACAGCACCCATTCTCCCCCCAAAAGAAGCTCTATTAAAAGTCCCCAACTCAAACTGCCAAAAAAACCCCACAAAAGCCAAAAGGAAGCTGCTCCCTTGACTCAAAACACTCAAAACCATTGGTCTATTAAAAATTTCAAGACTTATGAAATTCTTAGCCCAGTGTACAAAACTATACTGCAACCAAAATCAAAACAAAACAAAAAACACTGCTTTCAACCACTCTAAAACAGCAACTGGGAACTCCTTACCTTTATGACCATAACTGAGTCACTCGAGAGCGTCACATAGGTCATTAAATACATTTTAGAACTCTCTGATTTACACATGGGAAAAAGGACCACAAAAGTGGCCCCAACTCAGGGAGTCCTCACAGCCGACGTTCACCGGGCACCTCTCCGTGCCGAGCGGCACTTGGTGGACTAGCTCTAGTCCTGACACACAGCCTACCGAGGTCAGGGAGGTTAACAACTTGCTTATGGGTCCTGTGCACAGCCAGGATTCAACCCCAGGCCTGTGTGGCTTTAAAAAAAAAAAAAAGAGGAGGAGGAGGAGAAGAAAGCTCACTTGCTGATGTGTGCTGCCTCATGGCCATGGGGGTGTGCAACTCGTTCAACATAATCCTACAAAACCACGAGGGGGCAGAAGTGGATGGAAAATTCTTAACTTCTGTCACTGTTCACTATGTTTCTACTTGATTCATAAAGTGAACATCCTTTAAGTCAGCGAGACTGGAAGTGTGGTGGGAAGCTTGGTCACCACACGGGCTCTCACTGGTCTCTGACAGAACAAGCACAGAAATGCAGAGCGAGCGTCCAAAAGCAAACAGCAACCAGACATGGCCCCGGCTCCCAAGTATGATTGCTTTTCCAGCAATTCCAAGGTCAGGTTTGCTATACGTTACAGAAGTATCAGTCTGCCAAGGATTGGAAATTACAAAAATAAAAGCTGCCTCATTTGAGAATTGCTTCGAATGAAACTGCATTTAACGAGCTGGCTCTCAGACGAGAGAGTGAGAGCAGCTCAGGGAAAGGGGACTGCTTTAGAAAAATGACTGCTGGGTCCAGTCAATCTCAGAAAGGGACAAATGGTGCTACAAGTCTCTTCTCAGGTTCCGAAATATACTCTCCTACCTCCCCGAGAAGACTTCAGATAAAGAGCAGACTGCCCCACAGCAGCCCCAGCCCCAGGTGCTGAGTACCCCGCTCCTCTGACAGGGCCTCGGCAAGCCCAGGATAAGGCCCACCTGAAGTGCTTTGTGCTGTACTGCTGAGGGGAACGTTGTAGTTGGAGGCACGAATGGATGACCAGGCACTAGTTGAAGGCAGCGTGGTGTTCAAGGATGAGGATGACCCTATGTGGGGGAAAAGCCCGGTTAGTCATCCCCAGAGCAAGGGGCATGGCGCTTGAAGAATGAGCAGAAGCTTCCGGTGAGGGAAACGGATGCTGGGGTCCCGGGACGGTGCCCACGACTGCACCTTCCTTCCTGCCTTCACAACAGCACGCCCAGGGGGCTGGCTCACTGTTCTGACTGTGGCTCAGCAAGGTAGCTTCCCTCCCCTGCCTGACACTCTGAGACCACGCTGGCTCTGTGTCCCACTTTGGGCTCCAGAAGAAGGGCTAGGTCCTCCTGCCCCCAAACCCCTGACTGAACTCCAGCGACTTCTCACCAGACCACCCCTCCCCCCGGGGCACCCTGGCACCAGCAGGCCCTCACCCTCCATCTTGCCCCACAGCAGCCTCCCAAACCTAGGCTTTCCCCCTATGTTCGAAACCCCCTCGACTACTAGGCCCCACTCCAGGCTGGACTGTTGTCTGGATCTGTAATAACTCCGACCTAGCCTCCCACTCCATCCCTTCTGCTCGCCACTGTCAGACTACCTGCCGCCTTCAACGGCAAGACTTCCACTCAAAACCTTCAATGGTTCACGTCTTCTAACACCAAATCTAAACTCCTCTCCTGACTAACAATCTTCCACAAACAAGAAGCCTGTTTCTGCAAGCTGCCAGATTCTTCCATTAACTACATACAAGGCCATGAGGCTCTCCCCTTGGCTCTGTCCCTGTTCTGCTGGGACAGCGATAGGTACTTTAACTACTTCTATACAGTGGTCTGTTAAATTCAGCCATTTTAGAATGAGGATTCTTTCCTTACCATTGTGATATGGCAAACACCTGTTAACAAAATCATATACTTAACGTAAAATGCGGTTTTATGTCTTGTCATAAACTGTTTAGAGGAATAGGAGGATGTAGGTTTCGAACGGAAACAAAGGATTTTCTTTCACTCCCTTCGCCTTCCTTCAGGTGCATGCAGAGAATACTTTAAATGACTGGGGTGAGGGAAAACTATACGGTCGGTGGTAGGATGACTGTGTTTGGTAACCCATTAAAAAGTGCATCTGAACTGGAGGGACCCCTCAATTGGTCTTAATTTACACTTTTGGAGAGACAAAGAAAGCTAAATTGCTTCCTCACACAAAAGTTCCTTAGTAAGAATGTATAAATGAATGATAATATAACATCTTTTATATGAAACACCCATTTCTTAATCACAACACTGAAACTTGTTATAAAGTAGGTAACAATCTTTCAGTTGCTACTATAATTCCTGGAAAGCAAATTTTGTTGGTCCTTTGTGTTAGGTGAATGTATATGTTTACTTTATCAAAGTATAATAAATCCTCATCATTTTTAAAGTGGCAAAGAACCACCTATGGGAAAACTGAGAATTCACTTTTTATTTTCATGACTCCCTCGGATGTCAGATGCTGTGATGGGCTGAAAGTATCACATCCTCTGTGAACCATCCTTAAACTTTAGCGTCATCCGGCATCATTCAGAAATTCTGTCTTGTACCCGCCTACGTACCACTGTTCCTGTCCCTGAGGTGGTCAACTTCCCGCACAGTATTAATTGAAAGATTGTTTATGACACTGCCAGGAGTGACGTAAGGGTCAGTTTCAGGGTCAATGTTTGGATAACCTTTCCATGGTTCACCAGGGCGAAATTCTGGAAATGAAAACTTAAAATTAGTTCAGGCTTAATCATCACTTAGAGATCCATTATTAAATAAGCAAAACTTGTATTCCTAAAGCCTATGCAATTCTCAAATATTTTCCAGTTAATGCCAGCACTCTGAGAGACTGATTCAGTACTACTATTAGTGTAGCGTAAGCTGCTATTTATGAATAACTTGCGTATTTCTGCGACTGGAATAATTTCTCGGGGTTTATATATTTTTAAACAGTAAAATTTTACTTTTTGAATTTATTTTATTTTTTTATTTTTAAAAGATTTTATTTGACAGAGAGAGAGAGAGAGCAAGCACATGAGGATGAGCAGGAGGAAAAGCAAGGGGAGAGGGAGAAGCAGACTCCCCACCGAACAGGGAGCCCGATGCGGGGCTCGATCCCAGGACCCCAAGATCATGACCTGAGCCGAAGGCAGACGCTCAAGCGACTGAGCCACCCAGGCACCCCAAAAACAGAATCTTAAAAATAATAATAATAAGGGCGCCTGGGTGGCTCAGTTGGTTGAGTGCCTGCCTTCGGCTCAGGTTATGATCTCGGATCTCAGGGTCCTGGGCCCAAACCCTACACTGGGCTTCCTGCTCGGCGGGGAGTCAGCTTCTCTCTCTCCGTCTTTCCCCCTGCTCGTGCTCTCTCTCTCACACTCTCTCAAATAAATAAAATCTTAAAAAAAAAAAAAAAAAAAGATTTTATTTTTAAGTAAGCTCTACACCCAATGTGAGGCTCAAACTTATAACCCCGAGATCAAGAGTTGCGTGCTCTACCGGCTGAGCCAGCCAGGCGCCCCTAACGGTAACATTTTAAATGCTTTATTAAATCACAAGCCATAGCAAAGCAAACAGAAAAAAAGGCCGTAAGTCCATTCCTGGTAATGCTTCAGTCCAGACCCCTGGTGCCGATGAAGAGGAACCCGGAACAAAGGTTTTATTTTATTCCTCATGCCGGCCGGCGGGACTCCTTCCCCCTTCACTGCCTGGAGCATAAAGGCACTGGTAACAGGCCAGACTGGCTCCTCTGCCTGAGCCCCGATGCTCAGCTTTCCGTGCGTCCTGTGTGCATCCTTCCCACCCGTGGCAGAGCTCAGGCCGGTCCGCCCGAACGGGCCTACATCACTAGCGCATCTAGCGGTAATGACAAGTAAGGGAAGCAGAGCCTCGCGAAAGAAGCAGTCAGCATTTTACCTGGTGGCCAGTTAACACTGCTAGAGCCGTTAGGCGATTTGGCACGTGGCCAGCCATCTCCTATTGAACCCGGAGGGCTGGCTGGAGAAGTACTGCTGTTCATAAAGTCATAGGGAACAAATGGAGACTCTTCCAGCCTGAAACCACTTGAAATAGCACCTAAAGAGAAAAAACGATAGTGAATGTGAGGCAAAATACATGAGTGAATTTATTTCTTGTAGTTTTTCAAATATCACCAGGATACCCTGTATGAGATCTGTGGGTTCCAAACTGCATTCTGTAGACAGTGTGAAAAGTCAAGGAGGAAAGCAAGCTCTGAACTCTTCCAGACGTCAATCACTTTTAACTCTCTTACGTCCTGAGATCTAAACATTATCATAGTGAATTTTATTTCAAGGAGGATAAGAAGGATCATAATCATCAATAAGTGACCAGAGTATGGGTCCCAGTTTATTTCCAAATCATTAAAACACCTGTATTTTGCGTGTGTTGTTGGTGAATGAGGAGCACCAGGGGGAAGAAATACAACAACGGTAAAGAAAGAATTGTGGTGGAGAACATTCTAAGTGGCAGAGAGGTGTACCCGAGAATCCAGGAACTGGCTCTGACCCCTGTATATAATGAAAACAAGTATCCTTTTCGATCAGGAGGTTTACATTTCTACCTATACACACTCCCTTATGATTATACACAGCATCAGTAAAGATACCTGTTACCCAAATGAGTGTGAAATCCCACAAAAAGACAACTTATTTTTGCTTAGAAATGGTCATTTGTTTTCCAGCGATTTATTCTCCACACTCATCTTTGAACACATCTTAAAATGACTAATGCTTGACACACGCAGCAAGCACACCCCTCCCTCAGTGGACCAGCTCCGGCAGCCACGCTAAGTGCTGGCCCTGGGGGGAGGCGGGCGGACGCCGGGGCAGGCCCTCCCCACAGCCCGGGGAGTGGGCCGAGCATCGATAGGGCAACGGGAGGGGCGGGTGGGGGGGCCGCGCCGGCGTGAAGAAAGGGTCCAGGGAGGAGATGCCAGGCAGTGGGCACAGCCTGCACAAAGACCCGAGGACAAAAGCAGCTTGGCCTGTGTGAGGAACGGAAAGGCTGTTTTGTCTGAAAAGCAGTCAGCGGGAGAGTGAAGAACACGAGGGCGTTGCAGAGATGACCCGGTAGGTCCTAAGGTGAGGAGTGCCTGCTCCCGCTGCCCTTGGCCCTGCCTGTCCCCTGAAGGCATCAGATTTTGCAACACCCTCATGCGGGGCTTTGCAGGACACAGCAAGGGCTGTAAGAAGAGAAGTTAGACAACCTGATCCGTCTGAGGTCCCTGCTGCTGGCGTGTGGAGAACGGAAGCAGGGGAGCCAAGACCATGAGGCGGCTGCTGAGGCGGTGAGGTGCTATGGAGGCTCGGACTGTGCATTTTGGAAGGAGAATGGGCACTATTCACAGATGGGCTGATGTGGAAGTCGGAGAAAAGAAGAAATTGAGAACATCTTTTTTTTTTTTTTTTAAGATTTTTTATTTATTTGACAGAGAGAGAGAGACAGCGAGAGAGGGAACACAAGCAGGGGGAGTGGGAGAGGGAGAAGCAGGCTTCCTGCCCAGCAGGGAGCCCGATGCGGGATTCGATCCCAGGACCCTGAGATCATGACCTGAGCCGAAGGCAGTCGCTTAACCAACTGAGCCACCCAGGCGCCCCTTGAGAACATCTCTGACACCCAGACAGGCAGCACGGGATGGCTGGATAAACCAAATGCAGCATCATCCAACACAACTGTAAAAGGAACGAGCACTAATGCACATTTCAACACAGATGACCCTTGAAAACATTATGCCCCCAAAAGGCCAGTCACAAAGGACCAGATAATACATGCTTCAGGTGACGCGAGCAGTCCAGCGAGGCAAAGCCACCGAAAACAGACTTGTGTTTCTGCATGGCTGGGAGGGAAGGGAAGTCTGGGAGGGGCAGGGAGCAACCCCTCAGGGACTCTTCTGGGACCGGGGAAACATTCGACTCCCACGACTCAGAGTATACCAAAATCCGCCGAATGGTACACTTTATCAAGAGAATTGTATTATATTTAAATTATATGTATTATAAGTAAATAAACTTACGAGAGAGAGGGAGGGAGGATCTCTCTCAAGCTTCTAGCTTCAATAACCCGATAGAAGGAGGCACACCTGTTAGCTGAGGAGGAGCGAGGGTGAGGAGGAGCACCAAACACCCGCCCATTCGTGCCGGCTCTGACGCAGGTCTGAGGAAAAGCCCTGGTCACAGGTGCTCTGAGCTCCCGGAGAAACACAGCAGAGCCCTGAATGTTGCTTTAGCCTCGTTTACTCAGTGACCAACGTTCCCCTGGAAGCAGTCACAACACCCAAGCTTCTGTATCAGTGACTCGGGGGCAGAGATGGCCTGCTGAGACCTCAGGGCGCCACCCCCGGTGGGCACTAACCCATCCGTGACTAGGCCTAGTTATTCCACCAATTCCAACCCCTCTCTTCTCTGGCTTCCTTATCTAGTTACTTTTATCTGATTGAACTGTGTATCTTTTCTGTAAAGTGAATTAAAACCACTTGGGAGCTCAGTGGTATGAATAAAGTAGCAGTTGCAAGCAATACAGTAAGCGAACAGAGATGCCACATTTTAAGTGATTAATTCTACTGTAAGAACCTGAGCTGATAAAAGTATTCCTCCCTTTCAGTACAAAAAATCCATTTCTACTTATTAAAACTTCATTTTATTAAAAAGGAAAATAGGCTTGACCCAGAGGCAGCTATGATCCAATCATATTCTATTAACCGCCACATGGGAGAAGGTGTGGAAAATGGAAGGTACGTCTGTCCAGGTGGCAGGTGCAGCTGGATGCAAGCAGGCTGGATTCGCATGGACACACGCTGTTCTCAGAGGCAGGCGTGGGGGAAGCCAACAGTGGAGGCGGCAACAATAAGGAAGCCCCCACCGATGGGCCACTTAGTGTCTTACCCTGTCCTGGTGCGTCAGTGCGTCACAGGTGTTGCCTCATTCATCCTCGAACATCACAGGAGGTACTATATTATATTCCCATTTAGCAGATAAAGGTTAAATTACTTGACCGTAGCTAATAAGCAACACAGCAAGCTCTCAAATCCAGGGTCTTGCCATTTTGTCACCCGAGTCAACTACCATTCCCTTTTTTTTTTTTTAAGATTTTATTTATTTATCAGAGAGAGACAGAGAGAGAGCGTGAGCACAAGCAGGGGGAGGAGCAGAGGGAGAGGCAGGCAGGCTCCCCAGTGAGCAAGGAGCCCAATGCAGGACTTGATCCCAGGGCCCTGGGATCATGATCTGAGCCGAAGGCAGACGCCCAACCAACTGAACCACCCAGGTGTCCCTACAATTCCCACTCTTAAGAAAAAATCCAGGGGCGCCTGGGTGGCTCAGTCGTTAAGCATCTGCCTTCAGCTCGGGTCATGATCCCGGGGTCCTGGGATTGAGCCCCACGTCAGGCTCCCTGCTCCGCGGGAAGCCTGCTTCTCCCTCTCCCGCTCCCCCTGCTTGTGTTCCCTCTCTCACTGTGTCTCTCTCTGTCAAAAAAAAAAAAAAAAGAAAGAAAGAAAAATTCCAAATGTGATGTGCCACCGAGTGGCAAATTCAACTTAGAATTCAGGTCTGTTTGATTTAGGGTCCAATGTTCTTTCTACCACATGTCAATTTCACCTTCAATTTCCGATAATCAGCAGTCCAATGTTCACAAACCAGCAAACTGACCTTTAAGTCAAGTTTAGTCAAAGTTTCAGGATAAAATCCAACAGAAAGGAATGAACGTCACAAAAATGTCCTTTTGGTATTAATCAGAGGAACAGATGTCACTTAAGCTTGAAAGTAGAGAGGCTCTTCTGGCTCCCCTCCCATTATCTTAAATCACTAAGTCCTATCAATTCTGCTTCCTACAGTTCTGTTTTGTTTTTTGGCACAACTGTAAAGATTTCTAAATTATTTTGTTTTCGGTCCCTTGTATGCAGCCAAGATTTGGATTTTGCTTTATGATTCAATGTGAATTTCTTTTTTTAAATAAATTAGTTCGGCCCATGTATATTTATCAATTTGGCGTATATTTGGTCCCAGTTTCTCATTATTTTATATGATGCCTTTTATTTCTTTGTAGATTCTTTAAAAACTCTTTGAAAACGTGGTATCTGTTTCTATCTTTTCTGAAAATGTGGAGGGCTTCTATTTTTGTTTTAGTGGGCATCTTTTTAACTTGTTTAATCTTGTCTTCAAAAAATTTTTACTGAAATATAGCTGACATAGAACACTGTATTAGTTTCAAGTGTACAACATGATGATTCGGTTATCTGTATATACTGCGAAATGAAGGCACAGTTCTTGATGGCAGAGCACTGCTACACTGGGTCAGGCTACAGTCATCCCCCTCCACTCCCCAGGTGGCCACACTGCAGCCAGAATAATCCCCAAACACACATCATGCCACTTCCGGCCTAACACCCTGCAACAGTGAGCCCTCCAGGACAGAGGGGCTAGCACTCTAAGTCTTCATATATAAGGCCTCCACACCACCCCTGGGGTCCCCTCCCATCACCTCTGCTTGGTTAACTCCTGTTATCTTTCGTATCTCAGCTTAAGAGATCACAGGCCTTCCGGAATCCATGCCTTCAACCCAAAGACTGAAATATTCTTCTATATATGCGCCCCCTCCCCAGAACACTGTGCTGGGTGCTGGCTTACAAGGGAAAAGGTTTTATAAACAGCCTTCTAGTCACAGGATCTTAGGACCAAAAAGCATCGCAAATAACAGTCCAAGCCTTCTGTGACACACAATTTCCTGGTCAGATGTCCTTGCCTCCATTCCACCTTACTTTCCTTAACAAATCTGGCTTTTCTTACTCTGGAGGGTGCGCAGTAAAGGGCTAGCACAGTAGGCCTGGCATACATACTGTGAAGCGCTTCAGGCCTGGCCCTCAACCACTCCTGGGTTTCTCTAAGCCCGCAAACATCCCACAAGTATAAGAGCACCTTTGCAGACTCTGGGCCTCAGCCAGGCCAGACAGTTTACGGCAACATGACTTCTGGTGAACACCTGTTTTTGTTTGCTTGAGGCCTGGGTCATACTGTGTTTATGTCTGACCTCTGAGAGGTCTGCAGGGGCTTGGAGATCAAGTCATGCAGGTATCTGATGCCTATGTGACTGCCCCCAGTAAAAACCCTGGACACCAAGGCTTGGGGGAGCTTCTCTGGCTGGCAATACTTTGTACGTGGTTTCACACAGCGTTTCTGGAGAAATTAGGTCCGTGAAACTCCACTGGGAGAGGACAATAGGAAACTTCTCCTGGACTGTGCCCTATGTGCCTTTTCCCACTGCTGATTTTCATCTGATTCTTTTGCTGTAATAAACCATAACCATGAGTATTACAGCTTTTCTGAGTTCTGTCAATTCTTCTGGCAAATCACTGAACTTGAAAGTGGTCTTGGGGACCTCTGACACAGAAGGTCTCCTGCATTTGCCCTTTCTTCTCTGCTCCACAATTAACTTACTAGCTCTCTAAGCTTCACTAAATGGTGATAAAAAGAGAACCCACCTAAGACTGTGCTGCAAGTGGTCAGTGCCAGCCCGAGGCCTTCCCTGTAGTCCTCTCCCCTCCCTGGGCTCAGCTTAGGTCTGATGTGTGCCTGAAGAGCACTATCACACCGCCCCTCCTGACAATGACCTCCACACTGCTCCACGCCGGAGGACAACAGACTCTCTTCTCTACAACAGGGAAACGCAAATGCCAACAAGGCCACTCGGGGTTTATAAAGAAGTGAAGGAGGCTGGCTACAGGCAAAATCCCACGGTCCTTCCCCAAACAGAAGCATGACTATAGGCAAATATTTCTCTGGTTGGGGACTATAAGAAAATCTCTCTCCACCAGTGCAGGGGAGGGAACGGGTGTGAGGGGAGTGAGAAGAGAAATGAAACAAAACAAACCACACTCCCCAGTAAGTGCAGAGGCAAAAGGCAAATGACGCCACCACTGAGTTGAGTAGAGAAGACAACGGGGAGGGGCAACGAGCCGCAAGCACACGGGTCGCAGCTGCTCCACTCTGGGTGCTTACTGCTTCGGAGCTCGGTGCTGCTAGACCTCCGCATTGCCAAGGAGATGCCCGAAGTCTGAATCTGTACATGAAAGTTCCTGAATGTTTACATAGATGTTGGTTCAGAAAGATGACTTTCAAAATAGTGAGGGTCTAACAAAACATCAGTTTGTGGGCTGGCAGCTTTGGGAGCTCCCGTGAATACAGCTAAATGTGAATTTTATTTTTGTAAGGGAAACTATGCCAAAGTATAAGGGACAGGATGATCAACATCTCTCTCTCTCTTTTTAATGTAAGGAAAAGGGAAAACAAAGCCAACAAAAGAAAGAATGTGCCTGAGAAGATTCTAAGTCTCTGCCAGGAGAGAGAGAGAATAAGAGAAGGAGGAGCTACTGATCAAGAAGGAGCATTTCTGGGAGGAAATGAGAGTATGAGCAGCAAGCAAGCACAAGCAGGGGGAAGGACAGTGGGAGAGAGGATCTCATGCAGACCCCACGCTGAGTGCAGAGACTGATGTGGGGCTTGATCCCACGACCCTGAGATCATGACCTGAGCCGAAAATCAGGAGCTGGACACTTAGACCTGAGTCACCCAGGTGTCCCAGAAAAAGAATTTTAAAAAACAAAGAGAGGGGCACCTGGGTGCAGTCATTAAGCGTCTGCCTTCAGCTCAGGTCATGATCCCGGGGTCCTGGGATCAAGCCCCGCATCGGGCTCCCTGCTCGGCAGGAAGCCTGCTTCTCCCTCTCCCACTCCCCCTGCTTGTGTTCCCTCTCTCGCTGTGTCTCTCTCCGTCAAATAAGTTAATAAAATCTTTAAAAACAAACAAAAAAAACCAAAGAGAAAAAATGACTAAGTTTCTCTCTTTTGTTTTTTTAAAAATTTATATTTATTTATTTGGCAGAGAGAGAGGGCGAGCGAGCATGCACGCACAAGCAGTGGGGAGCAGCAGAGGGAGAGGAAGAAGCAGACTCCCCGCTGAGCAGGGAGCTGGATGCGGGACTCGATCCCAGGACCCCGGGATCATGACCTGAGCTGAAGGCAGACACTTAACCGACTTGAGCCGCCCAGGCGCCCAAGAATGACTAAGTTTCAAGTGCCAATTAAGTACATGAAGAATAGGAAGGGGGAAAAAAAAAAAGAATGGGAGGGATCTAGACTGAAGTAAAAAAAAAGTACTGACCTCTTCCTTCCTATTCTGAAGAGAGGAACATTCCTAGAATATTCATTGGATTGCTATGTATATAAGAATAAAGATATTTAATGTTTAAGCTAATTACTAAAAACAATTTACTGCTCACACTACAGATCTGTGCAAAAGAAAACAGTGTATGCAATAAAATGCAATGAAAAAATGATCGATGTTAAGTTTAAAAAAGACAAGTGGGGATGGGGATGTTATCTGACTTCAAAACCTACGCTGCCCGAGAACCCCTTGTATATGACACACACCATCTGCCAGGACGCCAAACACCGGAGAACGTATGAGGGACGGTCCACCTGCCACAGCAGTGCAAGGAAGGGAAGAGGTAGGTCATTTTCACAAAGAAACTGAGGCTCAGATAAGCAAGGCAGACATAGAAACATCCATTTTAACTTGAGCAGACAGAAAACCACATGGTAGAAGCATTTTCTTAGCTCTCCACATCTGACCTCCCCAGACACTCCTTTCACCACTAGCGGCTCTGGGATGCGGTCCTTCTTCTTTTCCAGGCTCTGTCCCTCTGGGCAACCTCACCTATGTCCATGACCTCAACATTCTGATAAATACCAAACCTTATTCTACGCTCAGCTTTTTCTTCTGAGTGCTGGCCTCTACTCCTAATGTCTTACTGGTCTTTTCCATGTTGTGCCATCCCCAAAATACTTCACTCAACAAGCCTAAAATCAATTCAATATCTGTCCCGCCACGCCTGCTTTGATTCCCCTATTTCTACCACCATTACCTGCACTCCCGAGCTCGCACGCTCCCCGTCCCGAGAATGCTCACAGTGCCACAGTGTGCTCAATGGAGCGACCACGCGAGCGCAGGAACATCACGAATGATCATGTGTTCACCCAAGGAGTTAGATTACTTACCCAGCCCTCCTGTCCTTAATCCTAAGACTCTTTCTGGTGCACTCCCTCCATGTCCACTGCCTTCTGTCTCACACTGCTTTGAGTCTTTTCTGCCTCTGGATAACCACCACTTTCAAATTTTAAATGATTTATGGCAAAAAGTTGTCTGCGATTTGCTCCATACCTACTATGGTAGCTTTGTCTTCCTCCTCCTTCCTCTTTGCCCCTTCACCTCCGTGATAGGCCCACACAACAGAACCCACCAGGCTGTCCTGTTTTTGAACTTTTCAATTGCTATATACTCTTTTGTTATTCTTTCTCTACTTCTTTGTGTGGTAAAGCCTTCCACACCCACCACACCCACAGTTCCTCATTTCCTGACTCAATCTTCCAATGGACTGCGCATTATCATACTACTTGTACCATCATATGGATTCACGTTTATAGCACCTATCACAGCATACCTAAAGCTGTTCACATGCTTATTTTTGCGACCAAAAGATGAGTTCCTTCAGGGTATTGTTCCTGGCTTACAAATGCTCAACTGTGTGCATGCATGTCCGTATGTATCTATGTATTCCAGGTGGCCCAGCACAGTCCTTGGAAAGCAAGACGATATTCCACTAACATCTGCTAGATGAACTGATAATATTAAATAAGATGAAAAGGTTTCTAAAAAAAATAACGTATGAGAAAACAATAATATTGAACCTACATGATTTATACATAGCAACAAAATGTATGAAGAAAATGTGCCATTATACAAAAAACTGGCAGAAATCAAATTATGCTTGGAGTTTTTAATGCCCTCCCTATCATACTAAATTGAGTAAATGTTAAGCAGAACATCAGAACAATAAAATCAATTGCAAAAACCTAAATGACCATCAAAGGGGGAATAATTTTTAAAACACAAATGTATATTCAATCTCTACTTTGTGCAGTAGTGTAATAAAGGTTAATTTTGCTTTTTGATTTTAACTAAGATTTAATAACTAATAAAGCATTTTTTAATAATGAGGAAAGGTTCTAAGGATTTGGCTACGAAAAGACATTTAAAATAAAATAAAGGCCTAGGGGCGCCTGGGTGGCTCAGTCGGTTAAGGATCCGACTCTTGATTTCAGAGTCATGAGATTGAGCCGGGCTCTGCACAGGGTGTGGAGCCTGCTTAAAATTCTCTCTCCTTCTGCCCCTCCCCACCACCCCCTCCAAAACCAAATGAATAAATAATAAATAAAATAAAACAAAGGCCTAAATTTAGTATTCTACAGGGTTTTTTTTTTTTAAGTGCAATATACAAGAATGTATTTCCTACCATGTTTGCTGGAGTTTTGATCCAAAGATGTGTTCACAGAAATGCTGTCCACTGTAGTCCACTTCCTTAGTCTTGACTGTGGCTCTTTAATACTGTTCATATCCATATTTACATTCAAGTTAGAGTTCAAGCCTAAAAATAAAACAATACTTTAACAGAAAAACCAGTTTATAAAATATAGTTGTCTGCGATTTGCTCCACACCTACTATTATAGCTTTGCTTTCCTCCTCCTTCCGATACCACAACTTCCATTTTCTAGAAAAGTACATGTAACTAATGTGTTTTCAATCCTGTGAATGTTCCTTAATAAATACCACCCTGCATATGTGGCACAGCCAAATGATTACAGACAAAGGCAAGGCAGGCAGAACAGACACTCTGGGCCCCTGGCCAAGGTTGTGCAGAAATAACATCAAGAGAGAGCCATGGCTACATTATCAGAGAGAGCAACAAATAGAAATCCTAAACAACTATTCTAATATTCAGTAACCCAATGTTTTCAAACCATAAAACTGTTAAAACCATAATTGCGTCAACTGTGGTAAACTATTTCTCCTTATAATTTTAATTATTTTTAAATTCCTTGATAAAAGACAATTTTAAAGTTTATCTCCAATAAAACAGATCTTTTTTATTTAAAAAAAAATATTTATGTATTAGAGCAAGAGAGTGTGTGCATGGGGGAGGGCGGGTAGGTGGGGCGGGGGGTGGGGGGACAGGGGGAGAGGGAGAGAATCTCAAGCAGTCTCCATGCCTAGCGTGGAGACCGACACAGGGCCCAATCTCACAGCCCTGAGATCATTACCTGAGCCAAAACCAAGAGTCAGACACTCAACCAACTGAGCCAACCAGGTGCCCCTAAAACAGACCTCTTTAGCTTTCCCCCAAGAGCACCACGCATGAAGAAATATTAATAATCCCTTTCAGATGTTATCTTTTGCTTGTAAACAACAGTTTTCAACTGGCTGGCCAGACAAAAAACACTGTCATTTTAAAGTAAAAATGTCTTGGGCGCCTGGGTGGCTCAGTCGTTGGGCGTCTGCCTTCGGCTCAGGTCATGATCCCAGGGTCCTGGGATCGAGTCTTGCATCGGGCTCCCTGTTCTGCGGGGAGCCTGCTTCTCCCTCTCCCGCTCCCCCTGCTTGTGTTCCTGCTCTCGCTATCTCTCTGTCAAATAAATAAATAAAATCTTAAAAAAAAAAAAAAAGTAAAAATACCTTGCTCTAACAATTATACTTAACGGTGAGAAGACTCTCAAGGCACAATTTCCTTGAACTTTGCTGATGACACACATCAAATTCAGATATTCTCTTGGAACAAGGATGGAAATTTCCATCTTAGATATTCTGGTCAGAAAACTGACCGCTAAGCCAGGATAATCATCTGAGATGCTTGTTAAAAAAAAAAAAAAAGAGTTCAGTGGGAACCAGAATCTTTGTTTAACACACAGTCAGGTGGTTCTTATTCTAAAATTTCAAAGCAAATGGTTTTAAATACTTGGGTTTCATGACAGTTCATGTGATATCAGGTCAGTCAAACTTAAAAACTTTAACAATGTGAATTCTCTAATATCATCCCCATTTTTGGAGAGAACAATTACATTTGCTGCTCTCTGGACTCAACTAGACCCAAGACCTGGCAAATTTTTTTTCTGCGAACCTGGGAAGGTTCAGACAGTAACTATCTCAGGCTCTGTGGGCCACAAAGTCTCAGTGTCTCTATGCAACTCTGTTGTAGCAAAAAAGCTCCACAGAATAATACATTAACAAAAGAGCATGCCTGTGTACCAATAAAACTTTATTTACAAAACCAGGCAGCTGGCCAAATTTGGTCAACAGGCTCTAGTTTGCCAATGCCTGATTTAGACAACCATATGCGTTTGTGTGGGTTTGGCAGACTTCTTAACCAGGACAAAGTAGTTTTTTTTTTTTTTTGTAAGATAGATAGATATTGATTGATTGATTTAGAGAGCAGGCACGTATGCGTGCACATGTGAACACATGTAGGGGGAGGAGCAGAGGGGATGGGAGAGGGAGGGGGCAAGAATCCCAAGCAGACTCCGTGCTGAGCACAGAGCCTGACATGGGGCTCAATCTCACCACCCTGAGATCATGACCTGAGCCAAAACCAAGAGCTGGACTGAGCCACCCAGGTACCCCTGGAAGAAGTATCTCTTGCTATAAAAGCCAGTCAGAACAGGAAATCCCATTAGTCAGAAACTTATCTCCTCACTGGCCTAATTTATATGTCTGGTATGCAAAAGGCAAGAGTCACTTCCCTTCACTGGTAAGATCACAATGTCTCAGTGTACTTGAGTATTCTTTCACCACTCTATTGTCTCCGGGATCATCAGGTCACCAACAAATGGCTTCTAAGGTACTCACCTGCGGTGGTAACTGACAAGGGAACTCCTTCTAGAAACACAGAGAGATTGCTAACAATCCCAAGGACTCCAAGTGCAACCTATGTCCTAACTGAGAGTCCACAGCAATACCAGGGAGAGCCAAATCGTGTACAGTCCAGCCAGAGTGAAGCAAGAGCAGGCCCCAGGCCCTGCCCACAGCCCAGAACACGCGAGCTAACTAACCATCTTAGACCCAGTTGAGCCAGTAACCAACCAAGCTGATTTACAAGAAAACACCATTAAGAGAAAAGACAGAAAGAAAAAGCAAAATGAAGAGGGTGTGAACAATCAAGGCTCAAAAGAGAATCAAAGGCACAAAGAGAAAAGAGACCCAAAGAAGGAGAAAACATCCAGCCCTGAAATTTCCAGAAGGAATAAAAGCCTGGGGACAGAACGAATAAAGGGAAGAGGGAGCAAGTGCAGGGGCAACCAAGGCAATCCTTCTCTCGCCCCGATTTTCTACACTCAAACCAAGACCATCCCTAAGTATGTAGGCGAGAATCACAATTCCAGGTTCCGAAAGCACAGAAGTGACTGTTCCCAGCTGCTCCCGCAGAGCAGTGTGGCTCAGGGTGTCTCTGGCATGTGGTTTCTGATAACCCTCCCCCTTCTACCCGATGATGAAGCTACCTTGGGCTTAAGAGCAACTTCACCTTTATTCTAACCCACTGTGAAAGAGTTTTAGAAACAGCATCATTTTCTTGCACGGAGAGAGGCCTTCCCCTAAGCAAGAAGATGGGCTGAACCTGCATAAGGCAAGGCAGCTCTCGGAGAGGAACGGGTCCTGGGGCCAGCGCGGTTTTCCCGAGGCGACGGAACTGTGCCGCTCCAGGAGAAGACCCAGCAAGCCTGTGGCCCCTGAGCATCAGCTGAATGCTCAGGGCAACGAGAAACCCACCTATTGGGAAGTTGCTGAAAGCATTTATTGGTGATGGCCCTTTTTGCAGCTCAGGTGTAGTGTGGGGCATGACGTTCTCGAGGAAAGATTTCATGGCTGGCTGATGGAGCGGCTGCTGCTGAGATGGCGGGGTCTGCTGCTTCACCAACAGGCTGGGATCGAGTTGCCGGGACTGCTGCATCATTTGCTGTTGCACGCTAAGAGGTCGACCCTGGAAACAGTGAGATGATTGGGAAACCCGGTGGACAGCCAGGCTTCCCAGACAGCCACATATTCCCCCTTACCGCCAAATTCACCCCCTCCTCCTCGGCAGGAAGGTGCACAGTCACCGTATACCAGTTAATACGACTTCTGGGCAAACAGGAGACTTAACAAACCACGTATTTCATTCTATTTTAATAAAGGCATCCCGCGTCTCGTTACAATTCCACTGCACTGAGTTCCGGTTAAGGATGCCATCTACCTGCTGGTCTTGCTGCTGCCGGTTCCCAGAAGGCACGCTTCTCTGACTCTGGGCCCTTTGCTGCTGCGCTAACAATCGCTGGAGGGAAGAGGGCGAAAAGGCTGTCAGTGTCGCGGCGCCAGAGCTGCGCGCTTCAGGTGACTGCAACGGACGCACGCACCCACGGCGCAGCCTCATCTGGCATCCCCTCTTCCTGGGCCTCCCTGGCCTCAAGCCCTTGTCCCAATTCGGTCTCTCGTTCAATCTAAACTTACACCTCATCAGGGACATATTCCCCGATCACCCTCCCCCCGGCCCCCCCAACCCGGCTGGGGGTGCTCTGGGGGTGCTCGCAGAGCATCCTGCCCTTTGAGCTCACCATCTGTCCTCACCCACAGACCGTAAGCTCCCTGGGGGCGACTGCACCGGCTTTGTTTGCTGCGACACTTCCTGCACACGGTAGACACTCAATACACATACAATGACTAAGGCTGTTACTCTACTTACCTGTAACTGGGAGATCTGAGAAAGCTGGTTTAGTTGGGATAGCTGGTTCAGCATGGCTACCTGTTGAGGGCCAAAGAGCGGATTCAGGCCACCGTTGTTTGGTGCATACTTCAGCAATGAAACTGGAACCTTAGGATCACAATGGCAAGTTAATAATGTTGATCAAAGAACTCAAAACTAACTAAATGCACAGTGTATTCTGAACTGTCAATAGAGCAATTAAATCTTTGGACTAGTACTTGGAAGGCTGGTTATGTTCTGTCTTCCTCTGCTTTATTGTTCATGTATACTTTCCTGGGTTAACTCAAAGATGACGGGGTGAATCTTAAACCACAGCCCATTTACTTTGCTACTGTCCTCCTCCCCTTAAGATGTTTTACGGAAGGTAATTTAACTTGGACTCATTTTCTTCACCCTACCCACATCCTTCCGTAAGGACAGCTGATCCTGAATTAGCTGCATCTCAAAGACACAAGGATGAGCAATTAGCCACCTCATTCAAATACCACGTTTTTCCAGGTCAAGAGAAGAAAGCAGGGCGGGAGTGATTACCTGAGGGGAGAGTAATGGAGGAGGCACTTGAGCACGGAGATTAGGCTGAGATGAACTAAGAGGTTGTGCTGGAGGCTGCTGCATGCCCCGGGGTTGTGCTGCTGTGTTTCCAACACCAAACATACTGGGATTGCCATTCTACAAAACCAAGAAACAGCGACAGAATACCAGTGGAATTCTTTAGGGGTAGACATCGTAATACCACACTGTTTTATTGATTTAAACACAGTAACTACATGTAAGAGAGATTTCATTACTTATACAAATCATTCAACAGAGAGCCTAAAATACACACGTGGACTTACCTGTCTAACAGAATTCAAGTTTTGCATACCCAGCCCTGCTATGGAGCCAAGGGCCTGGTTAGGTAGTGCACTATTTGAAGGGGGAAGCTTCATGCTTTGACTGGACATAAACTGCATGTTTTGGGATTCATCTGCTACAATGCCATCCTGAGTGGACAGACAGAAAGATGTGCAACACCAGCCAAGCAAACAAGCAGAAGGGAGAAATCATTGCAGGAACAGAAGAGAAGTCACGTGACATTGCAGCACCAACAGGAAACGGGTAGAAAACAGAAGAGATTAGTGTTAATTCTAGAGTACATAAAAAGAACCAGACACATTTTGCGGGATTAAGAAGAAAATACAAATGCAATCCCTATGCTAAACTGAAACATAAAGAGGAGAATGAACTACAAATCCAGTAATAGCACCGGATTACAGTACCTTATATTAAATGCCCTAGACAACTAACGAGAAAATTATGCTATTAAGTGTACTGGTTTATCAGCCACAGGGGTAAAACAAAACAAAACAAAACAAATGACTTACCTTATCAAAGTAAGGGCTGCGCTCCATGGAAGACTCTTTGGAAATCTGAGGCCGAGAACCAGGGCCTTTCCCGACCGTTCGATTGTAATCACCAATATTTAGGCTATGTTTATCTATCTCCATTCGTTTGTCCTGTAACATTCCTAAGAAATGCAGGACACTATGTTATCATGTAGGAAGACAATCTCATTGGCTTCAGATAAATTTACAGCAGAAAGCAAAATATTCACTCCCCCTGAGATGACTTCTGCCTTGACAAGAACATGTGAAAAATGCATTCAATAAATCTTGCATTCCTCAGAAGTAAAGTTGGGTTTAGCAGATCCTGTTACTTTACTAAAACAATTAACTTGAAAACAGACCAGTAATAAGATGGTTAAGACTTCTTTGGTCATCTTTAATCTGCTTAATGTAATAATAAAAACATAGTTCCCAGTTACAAATAACAAAAACAGCCAAGACAAATCACCATCAGATAGATGAACACTATGTGCCAGGCGCTGTTCGAAATGTGTGTTCGAGTTTAATGCTGGTAATGCTACTATTATCACCTCCATTTAGCAGATGAGGAAACTGCAGACCAGACCGGTTCACATTTTCCCCTCTCTCGGGTCTTCCTCTGTCCATTACTCTCATTTTGATTTCTCTGCAACTTTAAACTCAATTTCTTGTCTACCGAACTTATTATTCCTATATATTTCTTATCTCTAATAATGGCCCTTTATTGAATGCTTTAATGTCTCTCAGCTCCAAATTCACCCTTTTTGACTGCTCAGTGAAAGCACATCTGGACTCTACATTTTTCTTTTGCCACCGCGCACCAAGGCTTTGTCAGTAGAGGGCGCTGGAGGGCTGCTGCAGGAAGAAGCTCAACATGCTCACTTGGCAGCTTCTCCACTGCCCCACTCCGGCTGCGCAGGGTGTTCAGCCAACACCCCCTGACCAGGTCTCCCAGCATTCCCACATACCTCCAAACGGTGACACACCTCTCTATGAACAGCTTTTCCCAGCACCCTAGAGGGCAGATTTCCAGCAAGTTACACCAGGACAGCGGCACAGCAACTTCTCTGCCATTTAGTGAGCCATGGAAGAGGCAGAGTGTTGTCCTCACAGGAACAGACCCATATTTTGGATATGAATTTGCTTTTCCTGCCTGTAAAGTTTCTGCCATCCATGGTCTCGCAGAAGGCCTTATTCTCACAGCACTGCGTCTGATCCAGGAACTCACTCCACAGCAAAAGGAGAACAGTAATGGGATCATGCCCATGGGATCAACTGGTCTGACCGCAAACATCATCACCCAAAAGTAGCCAGCCAAACCAATAGGTAGAACTGGTTACAAAGCAGGTCAGGGGACAACACCCTTAAAGGATGGGCACTCGGGTGGCACAGCTGGTTAGGCGTCCGACTCTTGGTTTTGGCTCAGGTCATGATCTCAGGTTTGTGAGATCGAGCCCCATGTTGGGTTCTGTGCTCATGCGGAGTCTGCTTGAGTTTTTCTCTCCCCCTATCCCTCCTCCTGCTTGTGCGCTCTCTCAAATAAACAAATCTTAAAAAAAGAGGGGGGTGGGCTAGGCTTCTGTCTCACAGGACACAGTGTCCCCCACATCACCAGAATAAAGAGGTCTGGGAATCAAATGGTGGGAGTCGGAGTGGCTTCTCTCACCATCATACGTCATAAGCCACTCAGAGAATTCTAGCTTCCTGGTCTCGCAACTCTGCAAGTTTGGAGATCTTAATCCTCAAGAGAGAAAATGCTTCTACCCGGACACACATCAGGCTGCTGAACTGTAAGATGGACACTGCACCTGGACATTTTGCCTTCTTTGTGCCACTGAACCACGAGGCAAAAAGGGGCTTGTCTACTGGCTGGAGTGATTGATTCTCATCCCAAGGCGACATGGGTTTTCTATTACAAAATGAAGGCCACGAGGACTCTGGAACCCAGGGGGATTCTCCAGGGCCGGGGGGGGAGGGGGAGGCTCCTTAGTATTTCCAGGCCCACTAGTAAAGGTTAATGAAAAACTACAGCAATCAAGAAAAGGCAGATGAATAAGGGCTCAGACCCTCTGGGAACAGAGGTTTGGGTCACTCGACCAGCCAAGGAACCCAGGATGCTGAGGTGTGGCTGAGAGTAGGGCACTAGGAATGGGTGCTGCAAGAAAGAAGCCATGGACACCAACCACAGCTTATGATCACGACAGAAATGAGGGCAGGACTTGCTCGGCACGCTTTCTAAGGCTCGGTACAGAAGCGTGGTTGTCTGTATAAGCTGACCACTTTCTTCCTTCTCTTTCCCATTTTTATTTTATTCACAAGCTGTTGAAAGTTAACTTTACGACTTAGTCTTTTGGTCTCAATTGTGACGGACTTTGAGCAGTAATAACATAGCCAATGATAAGTGCAACGACTGTTGGGACTGTATCTGTCTCCTCAGTTTGGTGAGAGGGCAGACCTCCTCACTTGTAGGAAAGAAAGCTGTACCTCGCTAAGAAAAGAGACGGAGTCGCTTTGCCACTAGAGTGGAACAAAAGTGCAAGCAGAAGATGGGCAGTCAGAGGGTGGCATGAACTGTACCAATCATCGACCCACTGCCTCTCAGCTCTCACTGCCCTGAAAAAAAAACGGATCTGGACGCTTTACATATTTTCCCCTTTGCCAGCTGACGGTAGAGGGTGCAGGAGACACAGCCAGAAGACAGACAGTGTCTCCCAGGTCCGGGTGCTCTCTCCTGCAGCACAGGCAGCTGCCCCAGCCGCAGGCCCTGGCCGGGCTCACTGCTCCCCCCAGCAGCCGCTCTGGAGGTTTTGTACCAGAGCTCAAGTGAGACACCGCCCCAGAAGGCGGATCTCCTGCGGTTCCATGCAGTGGCACCACAGTGACGCGTCTGCCATGCGATGAGCAGAGGGCCAGGTCCAGGAGTCTGGATCTCAGCCCTGGCTCAGATGCCCTCCTCCATGGGCACACTAGCTCTGTCCTAAGGTTAGTGACTTCTCCTTACCTCTGCTACTCTATCTTCTTTTGTGGTCTCTTTACCTCTTGCCAAACCTTTATTATGCTAATAATTCTTTATATTTATATCAATAAACCTTCCTGTTCAAATCACCGTGTAGTTCGCTCTCCTGCCTGGACTCAGACTAACAGAATAACACTACCACCTACTAAAGCGTCCAGGCAAGAAAGCTGGAAATCTCTCCCTCTGCCCCTCCCCCTGCTCCTTCTAATAAATAAATAAAATTTAAAAAAAAAAAAAAGAAAAGAAAAGAAAAGAAAAAGCTGGAAATCAGCTTTTACCACGTCCACTCCCCTACCTCTATAATGAATTGGTACAGACTGGTTATCAACTTTCGTTGATTCTAATTCCCTCACCTCCACTGAATTAACAATCTTCCCACCTACTATCTTAGTTTAGAGCTCTGAAATCCTCACTGGCTACTGCAACAAATTTCAAACTGCAACAAATTTCAAACTGCTTTGGTATGTTTAGTATCTTTTTGTCAGTCTTCTGCCACCAATCTTTTCTGTCCTAGGATCTTTTCAACCTGTAGCCATATTTTTTTAAAAAACATAAATCCCAATCATGTCATTCTCCTGCTTAAAATTACTTAATCCCGTACTTTCAGAATGAAGTTCAACCCCCCGCAAAGCTCCTCATGATTCAGCACCTGCCTCGTTTTCTAGCACCTTCCCCTAGTCAAAGCTTCTCTCCTCACCACACTCCCACCACCACAACCAATTTACATTTCTTCTCCTACTGCATGCAACGTCTTCCATTTCTCCAGCACAGTTCAAGTTGTCTCTGTCATATGATCTGGGCCTTTGCACCTACTACTGTTTCCGAAATTACTAAGACTCTTATCACCCAACCTGAATAACTCCTCCTTGACAGGACTAGATCTGAGGTAATCAAAGACTAAAATCACCATGACCTTAGATCTGCACAGTGATTTGTACTTCGAAGGCAGTCCACTCATACACCACCACACTCTACTGTATGCTGAGAGCACAGGAATGCTGTGATAGGAACCCAGATCTCCCCTCTCCTGGTCCAGGCCAGTGCTCCTTAGAACCATCACGTCACAGATACATTTGTCCATCCATGAGGAATACGAACCCCAACTGATTTAACTTTTCCTTACCTCCGGAAAGATCCATCTTATTGCTCTGTACATTTTCTTCTGGTGAGTCTCTCTGAAGTAAGAAAACACAGTGTGTTAGCAGTCCTTAATTTATCAATGAAAACAAATTAAAAATGAAAAATTTTACTTTATTTCATTATTTGTCAAAAATCAAGTGGACTGCAAAACTCTTTTCACTGCCTAACAAGAAAAAGTTTTAAAAATAAGATACATGATCAATGTTTTTAGCTAAAACTATAAAAATAAAGAAGGCTTTGTGGCCAATTTTACTCTAACCTCCAGCATATTCATAAGGATTGAAAGATAATAATAATTTGTTAAGAAAATAAAAAACTGAACTTAGGGTAAATTTACAGACCCCCATTAAAAGGGGAGGGGGCTGCTAGGAAGAATACACTTACCGAAAAACTGATATTTGAAAACTGTTTAACGAATGGATTTATCCATGCTTCTTCTTGTTTGTTTCCACCTTTCATGGTTCCCTTTGCAAAACAAAAGAGTAGAAAGCTACCATGGCCGCCTCTATTGATCTGGGCACAGTGATGGATTAATAATAAAACTTCAAGGCAATTCCCCACTCTCATTTTTAGCCAATTAATTTCTCCTCCAACCAACTCTTAGCAGAGTTGTTAACAATTACAAATCAACTTATTTGATTTTCAACTTCCTTTGCTCCAGTCCTCTGGTATAGCTGTAACGTACAGAGAAATCTCTAAAGGCAAGCAGTCAGAAGGAAAAGACGGAAGCAAAGGGCGGAGAACTGCTCATCACAGTCTCCAGTTTACAACTGGACTGTGTTCTAAGAGCTTAATTATAACCTGGATTTGTGGGGTTCTGACACCACACTAAAGTAAAAGCGGTTGTTAGGTTCCACAGGTCAGCCCAAAGAAACCAACATGACCCGTAATTTAATTATGCTATGTGCACTGTACTGAGAAAGCACTGCATGTTTCCAAATGAAAAGCTATTTTAAAATTTTAATTTGTGTTGCCGAGAACACAGTACTCCCGCGGCAGCTGAGGCTGGGGACCCTCCAACTCCCCGCCTTGGTGCTGGCTGCCATGGCTGGCTGGGCATGGGCAGTAGAGAAACGACTCTGAGACACTCTTTGAGGGAATACGGTCCATGACGACGAGCCTGGCTGACAGGGAGGCCGGACGCCGCAGGGACCAAGGTCTCCCGTGAACACGAAGACCACGGAGCCAGCCATTCTCGGTCTGTCACCTTAGTTCCCCTTTCCCGTTGCTACCGCCTGTTCCTTCTGACCGTGGGACAGAACACAGCTTCACACTCCCCGCTCCCACCCCCCAAAGTGCAGGTCTCTGAAGCAAGCACCTAACCCTTGCCAAGGTTTCTGAAGTCCTCCTGGATTCCTCTGGCCCCCACCCCCGCCCCTCTGCCTGTATGGCTGCCAAGGCCTTCTGTCCCTTCTATTCTGAAATGCCTCTCTGATCAGTCCCTTGCACTACACAGCCACTCTGGCTTCCCAATTCAGGCCCTCACTTCTCACCAGAAGCTTCCTGACTGAGATCCCCCAACTCTGGTCTCTCCTCTGTGCCAATTATCTTTCATAGGACCACTGGTTAGCTTTCTTCAAAGAAAGTAACTTAAAAAACCCAACTCAAGTTGCCTTCTATGAAATTTCATTGGCTCCATATTTTATACAGAATAAAGTTCAAATTATCTTTGGCATGGTATTGAAAAGACTCTACTATCTGCCATTAATTTAACTATTGAGCCAGATCTCTTGTTACCTCTTTCCAGAAATTCTACACTTTAGTATATCAGACTACTATTTTCCCTGGCACATCCCACCCGCAGGCATCCTCCAAACTCAAGTGGCTACTCCTCAGTGCTCTCCTACAGCCCCACACTAGACTCTGAGCTCCTCGAGGGTGCAGCTCATTTCCTAGTGTTTTTGAACCCCCAGCACCAAGCACAGTACCTGGCACACAGCAGAAGCTAAATAAATGTTTGCAGTCGCTTTCTAAAAGATTTTTACTAGCAGAAACAAAGGAGAAAGAGTAAAAAGGCTACACACCCTTTCCCTTCTCCTTTTTTTGCCACTCAGACCCTGTAAGGAAAGACAAAGTCACAAAACAGCATGGTCCAGTGGGAAGAACACAGGGTTTGGAATCAGAAGACCTAAACTTAAGTCCTTGCTCTGTCACTTACTAGTTATGCATCTTTGGGCAAGTCACCGCCTTTTCCGGTCTCAATTTCCTCATCGGTATTCTACCTCAGAAGGTCATGAGGACCAAATGGCTTATGTAAAATATGGGAAAGCACTTCATAAGCTATATGGAGAGGCAATAGGCAAATTCAGCCAAATGAAACATCTTTTTAAATGAAAATGGTAGGTCCTAGACTGAGAACCCAAGGATTAAAGGGGGGGGGGATCCTGGTGGGCAGCTAGTGGAACTCCTGGATATTTGACCTCTAAGGTCTGGGGACAGGGGTGGCGGGTGGGGTGGAGATGGACCGGTTCTCAAATAGGGTGCGGTGGGGAGAACCACCTAGGTGTCTGGGCACGTATTTTGAAAATGGTCCCCAAGAGAATCTGACACCAGCATCCAATACCACCTCTTAAGAACCAGTGGTCTGCGTCAGTGCTTCTCAGCTCTGGCTCTACATCAGAGACATTTGGGGTCCAATTTCCAAAACTATAGTAGGCCTGGGGTACAGGAAGCTGTACTTGCAACAGATGCCATAGGATTCTGATGTACCAACAGGTCTGCGAATAAGATTTGTCCACATACAAGAGAGAGAAAAATCAAACTCTGCTCATTCCTAGGGATTTTTGTCATAGGACCTTTCGGGGGGGGGGGCAGGGAAGGGCTACAGATGGGGGATGAAAAAGGAAGACGGTGATTCTGGGTGGAAGGGGAGGTCGGGGACTGCAGGTGAGGTGGAATGGGAGATGAACTGGCAGTGGGATGGAAAGAGTCAACAAGGAGATCTGTCTGCCCTTCTCTTCACCCCCACCACTGCAGGCACCGCCCCGGGGTGACGGGTGTCCCAGCCAGCACTGGTGGAGGGGGAGGAGGAGAGAAATCCCAAGCTGTAGCAGTGGGGAGAAAGGAAGTTCCTGCGGTCTCATGGTTGTCTAGGTGGCTGCCCATACAAGAGGCTATACCTAAGTTGGGGACTGCCTGGACTGTACTGACTGCCACAAATGGGCAGGAAGAACATTAATTTTCTGAGGGTGAACTATCTTTGGAATAAAGTTTCAAGGGCTTTGCCCTTGAAATGTTTACCTTCGATGACATTTTCTTTGTATATGGTGGCCAATTTAAAGATGAGTTAAGCTCTTGAGATGAATTACTATTCCACATTCCAATCTCTACATCCTCTTCCTCTTCCCAGCCGGTGGGGCGATTTCCAGGCAATGGCATATCATCACCACACCAGCCATCTTGCATAGATTTTGGCCCTGATTGTGGATTTGTGATATAAAGAGAAACATGCTTTAATCAAACAATTCTTTCTGGAGGATGAGCACTCATTAAGGGGGCCAGGTGGGGGTGGGACCCTAAGAAAACCCCTATTTCCCTTCCCAAATCTGCATGGTAGAAATGTATGTTTTATACTGAGTTGAAGGTTCCATTAAGCAAGATTTTTTTTTTTTTTAAAGTAATCTCTACACCTAACATGGGCCCTGAACCCACGACGACCCTGAGATCAAGAGTCGCTTGCTCTACCAACTGAGCCGGCCAGGCACGCCTAAGCAAGAAATTTTTTTAAATTAAAAATTTCAGAGGTGCCTGGGTGGCTCGGTGAGTAAGTGTCCGACTCTTGATCTCAGCTCAGGTCTTGATCTTAGGTCATGAGTTCAAGCCCTGCATTGGGCTCCACGCTGGGTGTGAAGCCTACTTTAAAAAAAAAAAAAAAAAAAAAATCAATGAAACATTTCCCATGCTTTTTACAAACAGAAGGCTCCTAACATGGAACAATGGTGGCCTTCTTATTCATACTCATTTAATAATCTGCATGGCAACACACAGGGCAAAGAGGAATGAGGAAATTTCAAAGAATTCATTTTGATATATATTTTCAAAGAGGATGGCCACAAAGTACTGCGAGTCATAAGCAGAAAGTATCTCAACTCTAGACTCAGCCTTTGGAATTCCTATGGGGTACCCCACACACAATTTATGGGATAGTGACAACGTTCATCCAAATGCTGAATCAGGTCCCTCCTGAACTTTGTTCATTTTCTGTATAATATTCAAGGGAGTAATCTGGAACCTGAGCAGATTGGATACGTGTCCACACGATTACATATCCAGTCTCTCATGTTGGATAACATGAAAGTTGCTTGAATAGGTAATCTTATTTGGTAAAATAATAACTTAGATTTGGTGAAGTACATGCAAATCCCTATTAGTTAACACAATTCTAAGTAAAGACAAAATTCAGAAAGCTAAAAGAGCAAACCAAGTTAAAAATTCAAAGAGGCAAATAGTGAAATCATCTAGTATGATGAGACACGGATACACTTATCAATGATATAAGCATTATCCGATTATTTAATTATAGACAATGAGAGACCACCACTGCGACAAAATAGCTACCAGGAATTATCAGTAACTTACCAGATTTGCTTAATGCTTGAGGACCAACAGAGCTGGAGCCCCACGTGGATGTGTTGGATGCTGTAGCAATGGGCTCCCCCCAGCTGGGACCACTGTCTATGGGTTTACCCCATGCTGAAGTACCATTATCCACAGTTGTGGCTGGAGTAGAAGGCTCCCCCCAGGGCTCACCCCAGCCTTTAGAAAGTGTGGGAAAAGAAGTCATCAGCACATGGTAGGGTGGTGCGGTGGAATAGGGGCAATAAGGAATACTTAGGGAACCAAAGATGAAGACCTTCACATTCACAGATCAAATAATGATGCTGCGATGGGCAAAATCAATGGCATCTGTTTTATGCAAAGAAGACAAATCATTTCCCATTATCATAATTTAACTACACGGTGTGAATTTTTTCCCCCACCTCTTCTTTCATAATTGCCCTCTGGGTGTAGAGCAGATTGTTTTGAATGACCTTAATTATAGCAAGTCATCCTCCTTTGAAGATGAATTTAATTCCTGGAAAAGTCAAGTCATTCTGAGCCAAACCTACTGATTCCAAGCAGGTAATCAAGCTGGGTAACGGTATGTGTATACAATTTTTACCATAAGTGCAACCTTTCAACATCACTGTTCTGGGGCAAAATAAAATAAAATAAAATTAAATTAAATTAAAATAAAATAAAATAACTACAAGACTAAAAATACCTAGGCATCCTATTTTTATACATGCTGGACAATGCTTCTTAAAAATTCTGAGGTATCAGGTTGTCCAAAGCAAAGCCATAAACATTGTTCAAAAGAACCAAAACAGCCTTTCCCTTAGATACATAACCTGTTTCTTGTAAGAATTGAATCTAAATTAATAAACTATACTTGAGGGAAAAAAACTGGATGCTGAAAGGTTCGCTCATGAAAACACTCCTAACGCTACTTCGGAAGGGACTGATTATTACTCAATAAAACGTCCATTAACAAAGACAATGCGTTCCAATGACACTTAATGAAAATGTCATTGTCAAGATCATCTGCAGATAGGAATTAGCTCCTTGTTATGAGAGTGGGACTATGTCAGAAAGGTACTACCAAATGTTTTAAGTACACAAACATACACGCTGTATGACTAACAGACTTGGATTTCATGCCTACTTAAATTAATCCCTTCTAAGGCCAAATATAGCACCTGGTATTTAGAGAGTATTGTACTTGGATGCTTGTTTTATTTCTGGGGACACTGTAATCAAATAACAAAACCAAAAAGTAACAGCCTGACTCAGAACTAAGAAGTGTAGGGAATTCCTACTTGACATCACTTTCCCAACTCTGCCTTCTGAAGTCTTCCTAGCAGAGAACAGAGCATGTGAGACCCACAACCAATGTGGCCATAGGCAGAGCTCTGTTCCCTGATGTTGAACGTCCTATTATTTTCTTCCCTAAAAGCTCCTCCTGGATCAGAGGGGAAAAGCCCTTTGTGTGCCATATCCAAATACTCTGTTAAACAAATCTTACAGCAGCACCAGTACACTGAAGCGAGGCTAACAACACTGTGAAGTATCTTGTAACACCGTCGGACTCCGTTAAATGAGAACTTACCGGAGCCACTGCCCGCCTCTTTGTTTGAGATGGCACTTGCAGATGGTAGCAACTGGTGTACCTGTGCTTGCTGGTCTGAACGGCTGCTGCCATTTGGGACGTTTTTGTTCCACATGTTCACATTTTTGTAGTTGTATTTGCTCGGATCTCCCCAAGCTGAAGTTCCGTCATCAATCTCCATTTTGCGACGTATGGATTCTGGGGATGGTTCCTCCCAGCCTGTGGGCTCTTCTTCTTTTGTTGGGGCTGGTATAGGTCCTCCCAGCCAGCCTGTACCAGGAGGTTTGCCTGTAGCTGGTGGGATTCCCCAAGACCCGACAATGTCTTGTTGCTTGTTCCAGTCTGGAGAGCTGACTGGCTTTGACGAATCTCCCCAACCTAGAGACTGATTAGACTTTGGAGGATCTCCCCATCCCTGGGAAGGATTAGGTTTAGAAGATTCATCCCATCCTGATGAATTATTTGGATTTATGTTATTTCCCCAAGTAAAGGAACTAGTTTTACCAAGTTCGTTCCAACCAGAAACGGACCTGTCACTGTCACTACCTCCTGAGCTAGATTTCTTATTAGCCTCACCCCAATGGTTACTCCTTGAAGTCTCCCCCCAGTTATCACCGGCAGAAACGGACCACCCTTGGTTTGATTTTTGTCCATCACCCCATCCCTGTTTGCTCTTTTGCGAATCATTCCATGCAGACTTCTCTTCTTTGCTGTTCCCCCACTGATTGCTCTTGACCATTCCTGTAGCAGCAGAGTCATCTTCCCATCCCCCCTGGCAGCTTGAGCCTTTGGAATCTCCCCACCTCAGAGCAGGTTTGGGATCTCCCCACCCCGATACAGATGAGGTATCATTACTAGTAGGGCTAGTCTTATCTATACATGCCCCTGAGTTAAAAGTCTGTGTTGCAGAGCTTCCCCAGGCCTCTGTCCCATTGTCAGTCTTTCTTTCCCCTCTAGGTGATGTTTCTGTATCCCAGGCAGTATTCTGCTTAATAGGAGTCTGTCCCCAACCAGAGTTGGAGAGGACACGTGGATCCAAGTCAGTTCTGTTTACAATGCTTTGGAGTAATGTGTGCTGATCAATTTTTCTCCTGTCTCTACTCTGATTTTCCCCAGTTGCTTTCTCCTCGAGGCGTCCAGTGCTTTCTGTACTACCTTCACTCTCCACTGTACCTCCTGTTTTGGCCCACACACTGTTCTGCTCATTTGTCTGAGATGCGGCAGAACCTTGATCCTCTTCCTCAGTAGACTTCCATCCGTTTGTAAACTTCTTACCATTGCCATTTGCACTATCATTGGAATGCTGATTGCTAGGCAGTTTGTTCCACTCCACGCTGGATATATTAGTGCCAGTGTTTTGTGCAGGAGTTCCCCATCCTCGTCGACTTCCTCCAGAATTTGCGCCATTTCCACTTCCCCAGGATGCACTCTGGGAATTCGCTGCCCCAGACTCCCACACGCCTCCTCCTTTATTTGTGTTCACTTGAAAGTTAGTGCCCATAGGCCCATTTATGCCAGGCTGCATTAGAGTTGCATTCACAGTGTCACCATTAGCTTGGCCGTTAGGGCTCGAACATTTGTCTCCAGAGTAATTAGAACCATAGGCACCCCACGTAGTACCATAAGAGCCTCCACTTTTTGGCTCTCCATTGCTAAGGTGAGAAAGGGAAGTGCCATTCATAACCGACGGAGCCTGTATCTGAGGATGATTCATTGTGCTCACACGCCAGGCCCCTGTATTACTAGGCAGTTCATTATTCTGTACTGAACCGGAGTTTGGTAAACTAGAGGTCATAAAGTTAGTAGTGTTATTTGGTCCAGTCATCTCAGTGGTAATATTCTGAGGTTGACCACTGAATGAAACCTTCTGTGTACCACTTACTTCAGATTCACAAGTTTCCTGAAGGCTTCCCCAGGTACCATGGGTGGAAGAACCACCCACTTTAGAGTTAATACTCTGATTGTTAGGCATCTGGCCTAAGGTACTGCACTGAATATTGATGCCAGAACTACCGCTCCCTACAGGCCCTTTGAGGGCAAGTCCGTTGTTGTCTAATACTGGCCAGGCACCATGGTTGCTAGCTGAATTCAAAGTGCTTGGATTTAACCCTCCATTTGATGAAGAACTTACAGTGCCCCAAGCATTCATTCTATTGTTGCTACTTTCTGATTTGCTTTCAGGAGCATCCACAGAGACCTGACATGTGCTTATTATGGCTCCATGGGAAAAACCCCATGGCCCAGTACTACTTCCATGGCCCACATTATTGCTGCTGCTACCAACCACAAACTTGTTTTGGGAACCAAGTCCAGTGCTATTCCGAAGGCCATCTTTTTCACCACCGGTGCTTCCTGAAGCCATGATAGCGATGTTTCTCTCTGATTCAGAACTGGAGGCAGAATCAGCATCCATACATTCTGAAGCCAACTCTGGATCACTGCCAGGGACTGAGGGCCATGTTTCTTTTTCAGGAGAGTCGTTTACAACAGCATTCTTACAATTTGTGCTAGAGTCACTCGGAGAAGACACAGGTCCCCGCTGCGAATTTTCATAATGGGATCCTGAAGTATTGTGGTTTATATCTAGAATAAAGGAGAAGTACAAAAACTTATGAAGTGTTTGAAAAGGCAATAAATGTTATAAACGTATGTGGTTCCTCAACATTAACTTGGCAGTATGGTTACAAGGACACTGGTTATATCCCAGCCACCAACTTTTCTTATCCAATTAGTAATTCCACTCAGGCAGGGTATTTTGCTGCTTTGTTCACTGATGCTATCCTATGAGCCTAGGGCAGTACCTGGAACATAAGAGCTCCTCTCAATAGATAACTGCTGAATGAACAAACTGGTATTTATCAGCAAGTAAAAGAATTTTGGTGCGAAGAAGAACTAGGTGGTAGTAATGTATTGGGATAATGAAGCAATGCAAGCCTAGAGGCCTGACATGGGACAGAAGGGGCTGGGAAGGAGATGTGTGAGGACAAGTGAACAGGATGAACTTGACTACATGTATTAGAAACATACCAGAAATCCTTTCCCATCTTCCCTTTCTCAGAGGAGCTTTTTCACGCAACTCTTTGGGTATTAGAACAAGTTTATAAAAACTACAAAGCCTTTTCCATTTTATTTCCATTTCATTAGTGTTTTTATTCAACCTGAAATATTGTACACAAGTATTTTTAGTTGCATTCTCCTTCATAAAAATTCTTAATTTACCTTCATAGCCATGTATTATAGGAGATCACAGAATTATGACAATTAAAAAATCAAGTGCTGACATTAAACACCATTAATGACCAAACACAGAATCCTATAATCTTGGACTCACCGCTATATATTATCATCTAGTTGTTTTCCTGCAGGTAGGAGGCAGGCAGTTCTCATGCTTCTAATACTTCCCCAGATTCATTCCTCTCATTCGGTTTAAGGATCTGGTAGTTAAAAGTTCCTCAGAGATATTAACCTGCATAAGATGTCTGCATTTAGACTGTCTTTAAGGGGTGGCTTATATTGTAGTTCTTGATAAGAGTAGTGCTCAGAATCCTACGTGGTGCTTTTAAGTAACACACACATTCAAGTCACATCCCAGACCTAATGAACCAACTGCCAGGGATTGCAGGCCTAGAAAACAAATGTAACTCAATACTGGTATATTGCTAATATGGAAAATCAGGTTCATCTCGCATCATTTTCTCGCAAAGCACAATTGTCAAGCAGCAAAACACTATGAGCTAGAAAGAATAGCAGAAAAAAGTACTAGAGAGAGACCAAAAGTGTATATATAATTCACCAAATACATGAATCTTAAAGTTCCATAAGAGACTCTGATCTCCACTCCCTGTTTGGAAATCATTGTTTTAAGGTGCCAAACGAAGTGTGTCATCTTTCAGTGCCCGTGAGAAGGTTTTTCTCACGAAACACAGGATACCGAAACAGTCTGTCTCACGGGGTCAAAACAAACCAATACACCAGCACCTGCACCACCAGCAACATCATTCAGCACGGATCATGGATCACATGTTTTCTATGGATTTTTGTCACTGACTCCTTGGAACAATCCTAGAGCACAGATGTACTACCTTCACTTTGTAGATGGGGAAATCGAGGCCCAGAGGTTAAGTTATAGCAAATCACACGAGGAAGGCAGGATTCAGCACTGGATAATAAAGCAAGGTGACTGAAAACATGGCTGGTACTCTCACAGACACCAAGATTCATGTCTGGTCTCTATGCAGCAGTTGTATGCCCAAATCTGCAAGACAGGGCTACAAACAGTACCTCTTTACCCAGCTGTTAACTATACTGTCCTTTGTGAAGTAGTTAGCTCAGTGCCAGCTTCAAAGAAGGGCTCTGCAAGCAAAGGGCAGTTTGGTACAGTGATTAATAGCCCAACTGTGCAGTCAGACTGCTTGCGTTTCAAAGCCACTCCGCCGTTTCCTTGTGTGATCACAGGCAAGATCCTCAATCTGTCTGTACCTTAGTTTCCTCATCTATAAAGGCGGAGCAATAATAGCACCTGGCTGAAACAGTCGCTGGAAAACTAAGTGGTTAATAATTAAAAATGCTTTGAACCATATCTGATGCAAATTAGGTACTTAATAAATGAGGGCTGCTATTATCACTAATTAATACATACTGACGACTCTGCTGATTATTTCAGTCCTGTCTCCAAAGCATATTTTCCACTCCACCATGTCTATCTCATGGAGAACAAAATTAGAAATCATACAACTTGCTTACATTAAGTCTCTACTTAAAGATCTCAAACAGAACACTAACTCCTGGATTATTCCCCCACAGATGCCTCTCCCCCACAACCCAAAAAAATCCTGTTTCTTTATGGTTTTCTTCATCTCAGTAAGTTTCCTAAAACCTTACTGTGCATGGCAAATCCCAAACACCACCAAGCCCCAAATTCATCCGCTTTTCTCCAGATCTAACAGTCAAGCCACCATCACCATTATCATCACCTCAAAGATGTGAGTAAAAGTACCTGTTGCCACTATTTGTTTTCTCACACATGCCAGTGTTTCTTGCCACTTCCACCCAGCAGGAGTAAGAAAGCGAGATTGGGAACATCAGACAAAACGACCTAGGCTGAACACAAAACCCGGAATTTAACAGCGAAACAGCAGAAGCATTCTCATACCGACAGGGAAAAGGCAGGGTACTTGTCCTCAACACTAATACTCAGCCTTCTGCTGGAAGTACTGACCGATGATGAAAGGGGACCCAGAAAAAAGAGAAGGATAGTGGAAAAGAAACACAACAGATTAACATGTAAAAAGCAATAGTTTTCCTATATACCAGAAGTAGTCGACGAGAAAATGTGACCGAGAAAAGATCCCAATAGCCACAAAAACTATAAAGCAACTTGGAATAAAGCTAACAGAAATATGTAAAGTCATATATAATTAAGTTTTATTGCAGGCCACAGAAGACAACTTGATTAAGTACAGAAACTTGTTACTGGATAGGAAGATAGAATAATATTCTTTCTTAAAGTATAATTCAATTATAAGAAATCGCTAACAAGAGTCTGCAACTTAGTTAAAGTGATTTAAAAATTCACATAAAACATGAGAGGATGAGAAAGAGAATCTCAGTAGTGGGATGGGGGGCAGGGGGCGGGGGGCGCCGCAGGGTCACACGACAGCTAACGAGCGCCGCACCAGCCGAGCAGCTAACCTTCAGCTGAACGGCACCAGGAAGCCAGGGACAGACCCAAGTGTTTGTCAAATGTTAGTATTTTAAATCAGTAGGAGAAAAGGAATATTTAGTACTTTAAAAAGATTTCTTAAAATCAGACAATCAAAAATAATTTCGTCTGATTAATGTGTTAAAAGATGAAACCATGAAGTTACCAGTGAATGAGAATATTTTATACATAAAAGCAAAGACCACAAAAGAAATGACACAGATTTGACTTACCCAAAATGTGAAGTCATTTTATGTCAGAATACATCAAAAGCAAGCAAGGAAACAAAAAAAACCCCCAGCAAATAGCAGGATCCATTTTGCAGACCAGACTCTACCACCTTTAATGTTAGTAAAAATTTCTCTCAGAATCTGGTCATGACCTGGTTTGGAGGGGGCGGGGCATGGTCTAAATTTGTCTTTTGCTATATATCCTTACGTATTTTCAGAAAATGAGAGACACCATCAGCATTTACTAGCTAAAATTTCATTTTATAAAAAAAATTTTTTAATTTCATTTTTAATCTAAAAACTACTTGCTACTTTCAAAAAACCCCAAATTAAAAGGCTGTATCAAAAACTGCATTCACCAAGGATCTTTTGGTTATGAAAAACGTGTAGCTCAGACAGAGGTGGGGAGATCCCAGTCTAACTAAAGCTTTGAAAAAAAAGACTCCTCAGCAATCTCAACTAAAATGTTTCACAGAGACAGAGACTCTTTCAGATTGGGGAGAGGTGAAAATTTTAGTGTTTCCTTTACAGACAGGAAGCCAAAACCCATCATCACAAATGATCCAGAGGATAAACACAGAGGAACATAATTAACAATCCTGTTAGGTTTTTCGAGGGAACAGTGAGAAACAGTAAGACTGTGAAGCCCCAAGCTGGTGGGAGGAAAGGGGGCAGCTGAGTTTTACTGAGCATGGTGCAAAATACAAATTTTCACACACTGCACTGATGTAGGCAAATGAAGATTTGGAAGATTATGCCTTACTAAAGAACACTGGAAATCCAAAATAATACCATCAGCTCCTATTCTCACACAAAATTACCTTGAGAACTGGGGGCAACTCGAGCACCACACCTCCGAAAGAATAGTGCATCTCATAGCACCTATTCCCAAAAATCAAAGGGGATTATGTGGAGGCAGAGCAAAGACTGGCGATGATTCAAGTGATTTGTAAAGAAACAGTAATAATCTGCTCAGGAAGAATTTAGGTCCAGGAAAAATAATTTATTTTTCTTATTAAATATACAGCATGTAACAAACAAAATAGTTAAACATGTGCCTTCTGCCTTAAAGACTTTTCATTCTCACCAGAAGGGCAGTCTTCAGAAGTAAATGTACTCTGGTTTTAGAGTATTTATGGGAAGTATGACATAGTATCACTTGGGAATATGAGAGAACCTGGCAGGCACCATTTCAAACAGCACTCAGTGACAAAGGTCAAAATGTTTCTTTCAGTTATTCTGGCCTCTAGTCCAGGGGCTGGCAAACTTTTTCTGTAAAGGCCCAATTAGTGAATACTTTCAGTTTTGCCAGCCAGAGCGGTGTCTGCGGCAACCACTCTGCCACTGCAGCCACGGCCACTTGGAGACAACATGTAAATGAGTGGGCGTGGCAGCCTTCCAATAAAACCAGACCGAAATGGGCTGCAAGCCACCCTCTGTTCTAAAGACGACAAAAGCAATACTCCCAACCAAATGCAAGGCATGGATCAGGACTGGTCTCTGGTCTGAGAGATGAGGTGAGGGTGGTGGGGAGACAGCCATAAAAGACAATCTAGGGGCTGCCCCTCCAGACCGGACGGCGAGGGCCTCCACGGGGTCAGGTCCATGGTGATGGCCATGCACACAAGAGAGGAGAGCAGAAAGGCGTTTTGGAGTTGGAATCAGCAGGACATGGGAGACCAGTGGCCTATGAGACACGGAGATGGCCAAACATGATTTTAAGATTTCTAGATGGGTGGTGACTGGATGTGCCAACCTTCTGAGCAAGAGAACTCAGCAAATGACACTGGTATGCGGCAAGACAAGGAGATCAATTTTGGATGTGTGGAGTTTGAGGGGCCCGGCATCAGCTGAAGACATCCGGAAGGCATGAATCTAACACTCAGGAGAGATCTGAAGCAAAGTCATGGGAGGGAATAAAATCTGAAAACTGGTCGAAGAAGAGAGCAAGAATGAAAGAGCTTTAAGGAAGAGGAAGTGATCAACAATAAAAAAAAAGGAGGTGTCTATTAAGATGAAAATGGAAAAGGCTGTTTTTTACCACAGCTCCAACTGAAAATCACTAAGCCTGGATTTGACATTCAGAAAACCAATGGCCTTAGTAAGAGCTATTTTAGTCAAGTGGGAAGGAGCCAGACTACAGAGGACTGAAGTCATGTATTAGAGACTGCAAACATAGACTATTCTGTAAGAAGGGGGAGGAGAGAAAGTCTGTAACGTCCTCAAGAGACTGGGGGTTCAATTTTTTTAATGATACAAATGTGACTAAGGGGGAAGAGGTGCAAGTAGAGAGCAAGCAGCGGAAGTTCCAGGACAAGAACGACGGACACCACAGTGAAGAGACAGTGAGGAGCAGAGGCACATGGACGGTATTTTCATCGTTACACGTCTCTGGGAACTTTAACGTTAACATTTCTTTTCATTAAAACGGCCCCATTTCCTGGTCGCTCACCAATATAGCTCAAATGTCCTCGAGGTTCTTTAAAAAGAAAAATTCAAACGTAGTAAAGGCTATCAAGAGTGATACAGGCAACACCCACATACTCCTGCCCTTACTACACTAACTTCTACAGAAAACTCCTGTGTACCCCTTCTCTGACCACATCCCCGTCCTTCCCCAGTGGGTCACTGAATGGTAACTACTCAAAATCTGAACTCATCCCTAAGCAATATGAAAGCTTTGTATTTTATATAAATGGTATCATACTAGAAACAAACAATGACATTCTTGGGACAACCAGTGGAAATGTGAACACAAACTACCTATTACAGGATTTGCTGATGTGTCTCCCCTTTTGCCTAAGGTGGATCGTGGTATCATGGTTGTACAGGCGACCATCCTTACTTACTTTTAGGTAATTTCCCGTGGAAGTATTAAAGGTGAAGTATAATGAATGTGCACATGTGTGCATATGTATGTACTTATGATGGGGAAGGTGCACACGTCCGGTCGATGAGGAAGATGAAGGAAGGAGGAGTGGGAAGGAGGTATGCGTGTGAAAACATTAACTGCTGGATCTGGGTGCAGGGGACATGGGTATTTGCTTCTCTACTCTTTTAGCTTTACGGTACACGTCAATTGAATGATTAAAATGTGGGTTGGGCCACTCTGGACCATAAGTACAATTGCCGCCGGCCCTGTTAGGTGTATGAGTCCCTCCCTCCCAGATCCTGTATTACATGAAGCCCTGTAAGTCCCCCCAGCTTGAAGAGTTATTTGGGCAGTAGCAGAGCCCAACATCCTAAGGCTCTAAGAAATCAACTGCCCAGGAGAAGTCTTGATGTTGACTGAAAGCATCACCAAGTGTCTGAGGTGTAGCCACAAACTGGCAGCTGAGCCCGCAGCGCTGTGTGGTTTGACCACAGTAGGGCTCTAAAGGTGTGTAAAGGTATTCGGGTGTGGTACAAAGTCAGTGTCTTTACCCCTGTTCCCATCACTCTTTTTCATCTTCTACTTCACTTACCTGCTAGCCCGCGAAGGTGCTTAGCTTAAGACCTCAGACTGATTTATAAAGTACCTACTCCCACCTAAGGACTATCCCTGCTCTCTGATTGCATGGAATGAACAAGAACTGAATTATGTGAGGACAAGGAAGGTGTATCCAGCACTGCATCCCTCACTTTTATCATGAAAACTTAAGTAAATATCTGTGTATGTATTTATTGTATGTATTGACCTACCTGTCAAAACCTACTCCATTAACTGTATTTGCTCAGGAAACAAAAAAGTGAAACACAAATACAAAAACGAAAGCAGTTAAGGTTATGTTTGCACAGTTCTGAACTACCTGTGATTCACAACACCCAACTTTTGTGTTTCCGGACTATCACTGATGCTGTTTATAATGTACACGACGTTGCTCTTCACTGATCTCTAATCTGTAAGGTGAGGACTGAATGTTAACATAGTGTGTGTGCTGTAGCGAACACCCCGTCAGGGTTAGTCACCGGGTCACTATGATCCTTAGCATTGTAAATAACCTCAGAGGCCAGGGCAGACCTAACAGTCTAAGAAGCCCTCCCTAGTTCACGGATCCCCGACGGCCTCTTATGTGGCTCAGGTTGCTACTCCCCGTAGCTCCTACACAGATATTTTAATGTAAATTAAAATGACATATGCTGGTAAGTGGGGATTCACAAATGCTTTTTAAAAAAGACAAAAGCACAAATCAGGCTTTCTTGCAGAGTGCTCTGCCTTCATCAACCACATCAATTCCAGACCTCAGCCAGAGACTGCCGCACCTCCTGGCTCCTATCCCCACCTCCACGTGACGCAGTGACCCCTCGTAAAGTCCTCTGCGAAACGAGAGAATTGTCCTTCTCGGCCTTTGTTGAAGACTTCTGCCTATGCTCACATAGGTCTTCCTTTCATTTGAATGCATATCTGTAATACTTTTGGGATTCTGACCCATACCCATTTGTGAGAAACTTCTTACACTCCTACTGTTTCCATTTCAAAAACAGCTTTGTTCTTTCATCTTCCAAATTTTGAAAATGGTACTCAACATACCATTTTCTAAATTTAAGCCCACTTCCTTGTTCATTTTGTTAAGTGTGATACCACCATTGTTTAGCTTGTTATAGGTACTCAAGCATTCGCTGTGCGAGTAACCTCTCCTCAGGTTTTGATCACATTTTTAAAAAACATACTGATGACCAACTGTATCTGCTTTCAATCTCATTTCTCAGATGAACGTCAAGCCAAATTAACGGCTTGGTGTTACATGTCATATGTCTAAATCAGACTCTTCCTGAAAAGTATGGGTCCTTCTGTAAAAGTTTGAGGGAAGATAATTCATTCAGTACCTAAATATCAGGTGCTAAGCTATGCGCTTAAACCCATCGCATAATTTAATACTCAAAGCAACCATACAGGTTGGGCACTAATGTCCATACTTTACAGCTTAGGAGAGGATTGAGGTAAGTTAAGTGATTTGGCCAAGCCCACATAAGGCAGTAAGTGGCTATGGGGGTAGTATTAACTCAGGGTCATAGTCTAAGTTTGTATCCTTTCCAATAATAATGTGCCGCTCTAATTACCTACGCTGGAAAAATCACATTTGTGTCCTCTCCGTCCTTACCTACCACATCCAGCGTGCTGCCAAAGGACAGCAAGGCTGTTACCAGCACAGCTCTGGAGTCAGGCGGATCTTGATCAACGCCAGCTCTGCTTAGCAGCTGTGCAGTACCATAACAGGATGGACAGAGGAGTTCCTGACACAGAGGAGAGAGCACAGAGATAGAGCGTAACTCCTGCTGGGACGGTGAGCGATGGCTGCTCAGATGAGACGCAGACCCATGGAGCAATGAAGCAATTACGTTGTGACCAAGGTCACAAACGCTGGTGTATGTGAAGCTAGGATTTAAAAACCTGGTCCATTTGGCTCTAGAGACTTTGTTCTTAACCAGTATATGCGAGTGTTTTCATGCGTGGGAACCTTGATTTCCTCAATTCTCTAGCTGGCTTGTAGTAAATGCTTCGAAACAGTTTGAGAAAGAACAGACAAACCGTCAGAGCCTTTCAGAACATACTGAAACAAACTGGCCTTTGAGAAAACCGTAATCACATACATTTTCTGCCTCCCCATCATTACGGAGCTCAGAAAGGCCCTTCTGTGGCCATCACTGAATGCACGTGCTGTCTGAACACCATTTCCACCTGCGGCAGTCTTTCTCGGGCACAGGGTAACCGAGCGATCATGGGGCAAATGACTGAAAGTCTTGGTGCCTCAGTTTCCTCTACTGAAAAGTGAGGATAAGAATAACTTAGGCCTCACAGGACTGCTGAGGATTCACTGCAATGATATGTACCACCGCTTAGGACATATGCTTATGGGGGGGGGTGTGCTCAATTTTAGCTGTAGTCTTACCGATTTAAGCTATAAGCTGCTTATGAAAATGGGTAGAGCCTGGAGGGAAGGTGATTAAAACAATCATTTAAAAAGTAGGATGGGCAGTCAGCTTACAGGGCACCTTTTAGGATTCCCCATTTGTAACTCCCTGCACGGAACTCTTAAGTTTGCAACGCAGATACTGACGGACACAGACAGATCCCCAACAAGCCATGAGTGTGTCACCCTGCTGCACTGCTAATGAGGACGGTTGGAGTCTGGTAAGAAAGGCCTTCTCTCACCTGACTGGTTTTTGCTGTTCTGCACCTCTCCGTTATTTTGTGGCTGTTGATTTGTTAAAGCACTGCTTTCTGACTGGCTGCTTAACACTTTAACAGCAGATCCCAGGTTTGCTGCTATGACAGGAAAATGCTGACCCCGCTTTAGAAGCTGTTTGTGTTCCTGGTGGCGAAATCGTGGTGGCACTTCTCGAGGATACCGAGGCAAGGCCTGTGCTGGCTGCGGCGGCTGCTGTGGCGGCTGTGGCTGCGGCGGCTGTGGCTGCGGCTGCTGTGGCTGCGGCTGCTGTGGCGGCTGTGGCTGCGGCTGTGGCTGCTGCGGATTGTTGGCTGTGGCTCGCTTGGCATTATTATTAGTGCTGGTTGCTGTGGAAGTGCCGTTATTAGAGTTGGCAGGCTGAGGCTGGCTTACACTGGGCTTTATCTGTTCTGGCACTAATCCCAACAAAAGAAAAGGGGTGGAAAAGATTAGCCAGTAAAGTGTACCTCCACAGTAAGCCATCTAAGTAAAAAGGCACTAAGAAAAACAACCCTAAAGGAACAAAGTTCAAGAGTGCAAGGATACCCTCATTCACAGGCTCAGATTGTCTCGGGAGAGGCCAATTTTACTTCGGCAACGACCCCTCCAACAAGGTCACGGATGCCACTGGCATCCCCTGGCCTGGGTGGCACCTCCTGCTCACCAGCTCTGGCCCGTGTTATTCTGATCAGAGAACAAGCACTGGTTCTACAACTATGGAACTCACAACAGCTCAGAGAGCAAAAGTGGCGAATCAAGTTTTGGTCATCCTAAAAGAATCCTCAATTGCCTGGAAACTATTCTTAATCTGCCTCATTTTTATGTGTTTGGTCTCTATCCTTCATTTTTGAAACGTAACACAAGAACAGATAGAAAGGGTAGAAAACAATCTGACCGTTTCTTTACAAAAAGGCAAAGTTAGCAGCATTTTTTGTTGTTAAAACGTAAAGTCTGGATCAAACAGGACAAACTCAGAATGCAGAAGTCAACACAAATATTACAGAGCGAAATCTATGAAACTAATCAAAGCTGGAGAAATAACCTAGATACCCTGTCTTAAGCAAATCTGAAATAGCCATTTGTCTACTTATGAACAATGTGAAGTTATAAACAGTGGATTTCTAGACTCTTAGAAGAGATTAAATAAATAAACTGATGGAAATGCCTTAAACTGGTGAAGATATACCCAATCTCTGAAACTACAGAGAGGCAGCATGGTGTATGAACTTTTGGTGCCGTATGGAGCCAGGTTTTAATCCCAGTGCTGCCTTTACTAAGCTTTGTGTCTTTGGGCAAGGTGTGTATACCTGACTGAGCCTATGGTCTCCTCTGTAGGATGGGGATAAAACCTATACCTTGCAGGGCTACCCTAAAGCTAAGTATGTTACTGCTTACAGAGCACCAAATACAAGGCTATACAAATAGTGGGTATTTTTTAATGATCGGCACAATACCACCTTACACTTTTGTTAACAGTTGAACGTTTGTGTGAGTTTGATGCATCTTTACAGATGCCACTGTCAGATAAATAAGTGCAATGTCTCCATGTGACCAGTGAGGATACTCGGAGAAAGCACTGCTCAAGGGTTGAGAGCTCCAGGCCTGAAACTTGAATAGCCCACCCCGGAACTGGGTTATCTCTGCGTCCTTCTCCTTGCCTGCACAGTACAGGCAGTCCTGGTCTAGTACCCAGTACACTGTAAAAACTAAGTAAACAGAAGCTCTTCCGTGAGCCAAATAAAGGCAATATTTGTACAATGCCTACAATGTGCATGATGCTGAAACAAAGAGGTCACCAGTATGGTTTCCAGTAAGCCACCTGAACCCCATGTCACCTCTCCTCTCCCCCCAGCCCCTCGCCCCCAGAGTCTCCTTCATTTAGCAGTCTGGCCTCACTACGGCCTTCTCTCTGAGCCACTGGTAGACTCAGCCTAGATCACTCATACTAATATATTTTTTATACGTGATCTAGCCTTTTTCAAATATGACTGATTTTTCTGAAGTAATACAAGCAAACTGTCATTCAGGAGGACCTGCACTGAAAACTCACAAGCATTCTATCTGTGGCTTGGAGTCTTTTCATTCCTCCTGAAGGCAACTGAAAAGCCTCACATTAAGAATTTGAGTCAAGTACATTCTAGGTCTAATTACTTTATGTGTGAAACTTTTGTCTCCCAGACAATTTAATGCTTCCAGAAAGTACCAATAATGTATATTCCTTTGTCACAAGGAAAGTAAGGTACTAGAATATTCTAAGTACCTCTGAAACAAACAAAAAGATAAAGTACATGTAACTATGAAATCACAGAGAACACAAAAACTCGAACTCAGCCTTTATGTGTTTAGTACCAGGCTCAGCTTGGTATTTTGCAACTGAATGTAACCTTATAACACTTATAATACTATCCAGTACTAAAATACAGGCTTGCCTGCCACTTTATTACTAACAGGAAAAGATTTTAACAATTTAAAACCCAAACAAGATATTTATATGAGATGCAACAGGAACATGTTCTTTAATACATTCAAGGAACTAGAAGATAACCTACAGGCAAACACTGTGAAGGGCCTACATGAAGAATGTACAAGAACCTCAACACTCCATTAAAAATGACCACGAATTCAGAAGCAGGATTTACGTCTGTCATGTAGCAGCCCCATCCCTACCTCAAATTCAGAGAGCTGCTGTACTTATCGATGAAGTGTCACGGGGAAAGTAAGGCTGAGATAGGGCCTCATTTCTAGGGTCAGAAAATTTCACCAAAACCAGTAAAAACATTAAGACAATGTAACTATTGATTATAAAACTGAACTAAATAATCTTAAGTGAAATCTCAGATGTAAACATGAAACGTACTAGAAGAATAAAGGAGAAGTTAACAGTGTGTGTAGGTAGGGAGGTACGGATGGGGTTGCTGGGTAACAGATATAATTACTGAGTAATTTTGGCTATTGTGTATGTGCAGTTAAAATTTAGGTTAATTATGTCAGTAAATATCCAAACCACCAGAAAGAGGGAAAAAAATGAGAAAACAAGAAAACCTGATCCATTCAACAGATACAGAAAAGGCAATAAAAGAATTATTCCAGAACTGCAGTTAATAAGAAATACAAAAGAAGATGCCCAGCATAGGGCCCCAAAGATCTGTAATCAAAATAAATGAGTTAAATTCACTTGTTGATAAAGGGTCTTTAGTTTGTTAAGAAAATAAAAACTTAAGGAATACTTTGCAAAAATTAGTCCTGAAATAAAACAATACAGGAAGTCGGGGGGGGGGTACAAAGACAGATATAGGACCAAAAATGCTAACAAAATTTAAATAAAAGCAACATTAATGTCAGGTTTAAAAATTTCAATCAGAAAAGCATCATAAAGAATGAGATATCTCATACTGATAAAAGAAACCAACTAAAGAGATATAAACAGCTAAGAATCCTATGTACTGAAGTTTAGTATCAAATGTAAATCAAATGGAGACAGAAAAACTGAAGGAAAAAAAAGCAAAACCACCTACCTTTAAAAAAGATAACACCTTTTTTGACAAATACCCATGGAATAGTCATAGAAAGTACGTATGTACGTACGTACACACACACACACACACACACACAACCATACGGTACTATAGAAAACATCACTAAATTACAAAAAGTACAAATAATACAGATGGTATTTCTGAATTACAATGCAATCACATTAGAAACAACAAAACCAGCAAATAAAAATGCCTTAAGTATTGAGCTGAAGAAGAAATACCAGAACTGCAGGGTTATCAAGAAAGTCCCAGTGAAAACAATACACATAATAAGTTTTAAGATATGACTAAACCAGCAGTAAGGGAAAAATTCCTAGTCTTAATTATTTTCAACAAACAAGAATGAATATAAAGCATCTTGCTCAAGTTAAAAAATGAACTAAAGGAAGCAGAAGAAGGAATCAGTGAAGATAAAAGTAGCAATCAATGACTTTAGAGGTAAACTAATAACTCCAAGGCATGACTTTATGAAAAAAATTAACTAGTTAACCTAATTTTTAAAAAACAAAAATGGAAAAAAATGAGATGATTTTTTAAAATTAAGATATTTCTTTAGGTTCAACTCTATAAATAATTTGAAAAGATGGAGGAAGGATTTAACACTGGCCCCACAAGAGGCAAGAAAATAAAGATTAATTAGCATAGAAGAAATGGAGGAATTGATGAAATCACCCATCAGGATGAGACAGTTTGATCAATATTGCCATACGTTTTTTTTTTTTACTAGCATACTTTTAAGAAACATGGAACTCTAAGTCTAATGCTATTTAACTGTTGAGCACAGCAGAAGATGGAACACCAACACTGTTACAAGTAAGTCTGACAAAATTTTAGTAATCCCAAACAATGGAGAGAAAAAAGAAATATAAGTAGTTCCAGGGATTAAAAAAAAAAAAAAAAAGACGTAACTCCAAATGTAGAGATTCTGGAAATAAAAGAAAATACTATGTATAACCTATACCTTTAAAACAGGAAACCAGCTAAATGGAACAATGTTCCATAACATGGCTTGGCAAATCTTTCCTGTAAAGGGCCAGATAGTAAGCATTTTAGGCTTTACAGGCCATCCAGTCTCTCTTGCAACTACTCAGCTCTGCTTTTGTAGCACAAAAACCAGCCACAGACAACACATAAATGAATGGATGTGGCTCTGTTCCAGCAAAACCTGATATACAAAAATAGGCAATGGGCCAAATTTGCAAGCTATAGTTGTCCAGCGTCTGCTCTATAAAATATAATTTACCAAGATCAGCTTATAAAGGAGAAGATCCTATAATAACAGAAGACACTGAAAAACTCCAAGATTTACCTCTCTAAAAAGCACGAGACCCAGATGACTTTATAGGGAATGTGCATATAAAATCTTCAAGAAACGTGTATCAATCTATATAAACTGTTCCAGAACAAAGAAGTGCAGGTTCAAAAGACTGACTAGATTCAAATCCTGGCTCTGCATCTTAATAGATGCATAACCGTGGGCCAGGTACTTAACCACCCTGTACTTCTGTTCTCTTATCTGTAAAACAGGGTTAAGTATGAATACCTCTACCATGTAGGGTTGTTGTGAGGTTTTAACAAGATAATGGATGTAAAGAACTGAAGAATAGTACCAGGCACCTCAATAAATGTTAGTGACGACTATTTACCACCTAGGTTTAAAAAAAAAGGAGTAAGGATGACCCTCAGGTTTCTGGCCTGGAAGGTGGGTAGTCAGTGGTACCATTTACCAAAACATGAAACAGAAGACAAAAACTGAGTTTGGGAAATGCATGAGAGAGAGTTTAGTTTTTAATGTGTTAGGTTTGTTGTTACTCCAGGACAGCAATTCTCAAACATTTTGGTCTCAAGACCCCTTTGCATTTTTAAAAGTTACTGAGGGG